GACTGCGCGGGCCTGGGGCGAGCGAGGTTGGCACGTCGTTACCCCTACTCACGACCCCCCCCTGCCCCGGAGGGAAGCTCCAGCGGCGGAAGCAGCTCGTTAGTGGTCGCCGGGGGGGTCTCCGTGAGCCATGGACCCGCGGAAGTTGAGCGAGCTGCGGGCCTTCGTGAAACTCTGCAAGCAGAACCCGGCCGTCCTGCACACCGAGGACCTGAGCTTTTTCCGCGAGTGGGTGGAGAGGTATGGCCGGAGGAAGCCCCCCGTTTCGGGCGCCCGAGAAAGAAGCAGCGCGGGTCATATTTAGCCCAGTTTGTCTTTTCCTCATCCCTTCCCCCCCTACCCACCCACTCCTAAACCACCGCCACTTCTCTGCTTCCCCTCCTTCGGTTTAAATATTTGGTTCAAAGACCTTCCTTCGCTCCGGGCTGGGAATGGGTCTGTTTCTCCTGTGAGCTAGAGAGAGCAAAATGTGAGGGAAGTGAAAGCGCTGCGGTAGTTGGGTGTCTTGTTGTGAGTTACTCGTTTCCCCGGGAGCTGTGGGCTCCCGGGGAAACGAGTAACTCTTCAGGGTAACGGAGCCTTACTCTGTCACCTGCCTGCTTCTCTAACCCTTTGCTCCAGTTAGATACCGGCTGGCAGATCTGTATCCCCGCATTTCTCGACCGAAGGCCTAATCTGTCGTGTCACAGGAACCCGAGCCTTTTTTTTTTCTTGGGGTATTCTTCCCCCCCACACACACACCCTGTGTCGTCGAGGTTTCAGGCCGTTACAATAAACAAGCGCCCTTTAATCTCCTTATGCTTAGAGCCGCCGAACCCGAATGCTGCTCCCCGATAGAAAGCATTTTTTAATGGGAGGGAAGGGCTTTAAAAAACGTTCTAGCCTAGCTTTTTGCGTGCGATGATCGCTGGTGTATTTTTGTCTGTCTGCATTTTCGTTGCTCCATGCTGTCCACATGTTCGTAGGATGGCGCCAGCAGTTGTTGCAACGCAGCGCATTCAGGCTGTGAAACACATGGGTGATTGTCCTAAACAAGGATCAACACTTTATGTGGTTTTATTCTTGTTGTTGTTATTCTGAGGAAAGTGTGGTTCTCTAGGGAAAACATGGTTTTAAATAGTTGTAAACTATGTGGGGCTTCATAGAATTTGTTTTATTTTATTTGAAAAAAAAATTGCAGTGTTTGACTGATGGGTTACTCCAAAGTATATAACATAGGCCACTGTGTAAACAACCTGCATATGGGTTTATTAGATTTTAAAACCAATCTTTATAGCACAGCAGATAGCATTTCTTCCATGTTGCAAGCCCTTTTTCTAGGCTTTGAAATACTTAACTGGATTACTTGTCTCATTCTGCATTGGCTGTTAAATTCCTTTCAGGATTTCAAACTCAGCTTGAAAGCAATTGAAATTGCATTGCTCAGAGTTTGTGCAGCAAATATGTATTAGAGAAATGCATTCAAAACATTAGGGAAATATGTTCAAATCCACTTGTTTCATCGTTCAGAATAAAACCTCAAGCAATAATGTTGGCAGTGTAAAAAAATAACAGTACATCTTGGATTTCTAGATACCTTAACTAAAGCCATAAATCTATGATAGAACAAATGCACACATTTCAAAGTGGTGTGGTATGGAAGGGTATTTATTATTCATAGCTCTGTCTGTAGTTCTAACTCCTTCATCGTATGTCTTTATTTGCTGCTGGACTAGTGAGATGTATAATTTTAATTATGTCTTTCTTTGGCTCATTTGATGATGCATTCCTGAATCCAATCAGTAGCCCAGCTAAAGTGGATCAGTTGATAAATGATTGACCAGTGTTAAGTCCCATAGATTCAGTAGGTTCACTGTAATTGATACTACCCATTGGATTTAGCCTGTATTTTTAATACAAAACAACCGATCATTTATCAGCTGTAGTTTGGAGTCTCTGTATCCATTGAATTTAAAGAGCATAGGCATAACTTAATTTAGCATATATTTGGGACAGATCTTTTATTAGTGGTCTTATATATTTCATTTAAATAATCAGAAATCCAGTTTTAAAATTTTTAATTGTGATTTAAATCAATTTGATTAAATCAAATCCACCCTGGTTGAGAGTAGATGAGACATAAAACCTAAGTGAAATAGGTGAAACCTAAGGTAATATGCTCTTGTTCTTTTAGGATTTCATTGAAGGAAAAGCTGTGGTATGGGTGAAATGTTTTCACTTAAGTTGTCTTCATTGTAATGATTTCTCAGAGAGTGCATTACAACAGTTGCTTTTTTATGAAGGCACTTCTAAAAGGAAAACAAGGTTTCTAGAAGGAGACACAGCACTATGAATTTATTGACAAATATGGTCCCTCCCTTTGCATTTTTGAGATAGCAGAGTGCTGTGTAAATAAGGTGTTTTAGGGATAAGCTGGAAATGCAGAGTATCCGCTTTTCTAGTTTTAGGAAAGGCATTCCATTGCATTTTCATTCTCTTTATGGAAGGAGTTCCTATTGTACTGTTAATATAACTTAGGTGTGTGCTGTCTTTGTGTCTCACAGTTTAAGCCTGAAGAAATACTTGGTTTCTAGTCGGATGAAAATATCTTTATAACTACCCTAATGTTACTGTATTGCAGTGTCATATGTCAAATTACAAGTTTCCATAAATGTAAAGGGCGGCTTAATCTTTTCTAGCTTTCTTTGGGGGGGGCTGTTTTCCTGGTCAGTGACAGCAAATGAAAGTTGAGTTCACTTTGCCACACTTCGTGCAATTGTAAGTGTTTAAAAAATGAAAAACCCAAAGCATAGTAATTGAACATTGAATATTAAAATGTTTGTGAACCACAATTTAGAAAAGCAGATTAAAAGACTTTGTATTAGATTATTTTCTCAATACATAGATGGAGCTGTACTGCAAAATGTTATCTGCTTGTTTTACTTTTGTGCTTATCTTCAACCATAGTTTTAAATTCCATATTTCACTGAAGTCTCTCTCTCTCTCTCTCTTTATAAAGTATGGGAGGCACAGTACCTCCAGCTCCATGCAACACTTCTGCAGAAGAAGGTGCTGAGGTAAGACAGTAGCTTAGCACGATTATTTATGGACATGTATGTAATTCATGGAAGAGAAGCACTTGTTTTTCAGTTTAATTTAAATATTTTTACCCCACTTGTTAGGGAACACTACCCTAATTAATTCTCTGATTTGTGCAAAAAGAAGCATGGTTTTCAAAATGTGCGTTATAGTTTTTGTCATTTGGACTACTCCATGTATCAACAGGCTAATTATAAAGAGGGGCTGAGCTACTTTTATATAATTCAAGTATCATTGTTGCTGGGGTTTTTTTCTGTGACCCTTAGATTTCTGTAATGGCTTCTGCCCATAATTATTTTTCTAACATCTTGTTTAACATGCCACATAAACAGCCTGTGAAGCCCAGGTTAGACTCTGTAAGCCAGCTTTGTACTTCAGTCCAGACCTCCATATGGCTTCAACCAATGGTTTAATGTAGCTGTTGAAAAGCACAACAAAGATGATGGAATCTTGCAACACTCTGGGCAGTGGACATGGGGCAGGAGAGACATCTCTTAGCAGCACCATCTAAGACAATTGTTCAAGGAAGGATTGAAATTCTTGAACACTGCGTTTTCTAAGACCTACACAGAGATAAGTTTTAGATATATTTAGGATTAGAAGGAAATACTTTGGCTTTATAAAAGGAGAATTTCTGCTTATGGAAGCCTCTAGGAGTGACAGTTCACTTTTAAAACAAGATGGACCTCACCCACCCCCATAGTGTGTTTGAAAAATTAAAAGAGTTCTAGCCACTGCTGGTTTTGACTCTGTTCATCTGGTCCAGTGTGACTTTGGAAGGTCTACAAAGATAGTAGGCCCTCAGAGCTTGCTCACCCAGTTCAACATTTTCTGTTGGTCTGTGGCTATTATAGTTTAGAGATGTTTACCTTTGGTTGATTTGAAACTTTATAAAAAGAATGATGGTGTAATAGAACAGTTCTCACATGTAGTTCTTCAGACTGTTTTCTTCAGCATTGTCTAGACTCGAGACAATCTATAATACTATCCAATGAAATAGGCCTTAAGTGAGCTTTCTGCTAATGGGATGTATTTTTCTTTCAGGCAAAAGCAGAAGAAAAGAAACCAGAAGAGCCCCCAAAGCCACCAGAACCAGAGAGTGAAGAGAGTGATTTGGGTAACTTACCAATATATCAGAATTTCTTTGGTGCAGTTATTAAACTTTAATTTCTTATTATCCCTTATGTGCAAGAACTGGGATTTTTGTAACGACTGATTATTTTGTGTTGCAGAGATTGACAATGAAGGTGTGATTGAGCCAGACAACGATGAACCTCAGGCAATGGGAGATGAAAGTATTGAGGTAATTAAGTTCCATGTACTTTGGAACTGTCCAAATAAAACTACAAGTTGGTTTTTATATAAACCAATCAGTATTTCTTGACTGTAAGGCAATTTTGTGTTGTGTAACATGTCTAAGAAATGTTAACTTATCCACAAGGATTTATATAAACATATTTTATGCATCCACCTATATGTAACCCCCCCCAAATCTATGGACAAGTGGTTCACTTTTCTCTTTATGTACAACAGGGTACCCTTCTAGTGTCTTGGGCCTGGAGGTGGTGGTTTCATCTTAAATTGGTTACAGAGCATGGGGTTCCCCACACATGTGCAGATGTGTACCTATAGAAACATACATGCCTTCCCCATCTGAGACTTTCTGTTCTCCACATCTAGCAGTGAGTAAACATCAGTCTGGGAAGCAGGGGTGGACATTTTATCCCTGAAACTAGAAACAGCTGTTAGGCAAAAGTGGATGAGGTCCATCAACTGCAGGCACTATATAGGGAACAATAGTCTGACAAAGTAACTGATAAACAGTTTTTTCCTGAATTATACGGATACTCTGATAGCTTAACCTAGAATCAGAAATGCTATGTTCTAGCTTTGGTCTGAATTGCAGCCTCTTTGCCATTTTTTTTGTCTTAGGTAACAGAAGAGATGATGGACCAGGCTAATGAAAAGAAGATGGAAGCTATTAATGCACTAGGTGAAGGTAAGCTATTTGCATGAGGCTGTCTTTTTAAGGCCCTTAAGTGATGGATACTCTCTTACGTTTTAAAACTGTAAATAAATATGAAGTAGCTAAAAGAATGATAATGTACAGTACAATGATGGATTGTGAGTTTCTCAACTACCTGGAATAAACTCAAAATGTATGTAGTGAGAAGTGCTTGTGTAATTTCAAAAGTAAGTTACTGTATCTGAGCTGCATCTTATGATTATCCAGACATTCCTTATCACCTTTCTTTCCTCACTAGTTGCTTCATGCTATAAAAGAACTCTCACGTGTTTCATTCTAGTTAGTGGACGTGCTAGTATATATACTATATGTGGATGAGGAAGGTATGAACTTTTTTCCCTTGATAGCAGAGGTAATATCTGTGCTTCAGATGGCATGACTAAAACTAAAAGACCGTGCAAGTGTTTGAAAACAAAGTGTCCATTTTATTATTGTTGCGACGTTGTTTGAGTAGCCAGAGTTTTGGCTCAAAGCATCCAATACTATGGCTTCAAAACATCTTTTGATAGAGGAATGATGCTGTTGAAACTTTGACCTAGTGCTGTTCTTTTCAGTCACTGTTTTAAATTTTATTTTAATTTTGTTTAAAAGATCAAAACACAAAAGTGCAAGCAGAAATAGACAAGGCAGAGAATAAAGTGCCAAAGGAGAAAAGCCCCCATCGGTACCTACGAAATTAAACAGAAAAGGGCAGGGCCCCCCAAAGGTGCGCACACACGCACAAACACACACACACACGGAGGTCCGGCAACCTTCCTCTGAGGGCCCCCCTCAAAAAAAGGCGCACTTAGCAGCAGCAGCTACCCCCACCATGACAGAGGAGCAAACTTTGCGAGGCGAGCGCAGGGAGCCTTCAGAGCTGAGGCGGCTGAAGCAGGACGAAGAGGAGGAGGAGGAAGCACCGCCGGGCACTGAGGTGGCTGCTGGCTAGGCTAGTTCTGGGAGTGCCAAGAGAAAAAGAGAGCCAGAGAGCCATTTCCCTGGAAGAGGTGGCGGCAGCGGCAGGTTGGAGGCGCTCTTTGAGGGCGGGCTGGGAGCGAGCTCCACTCTCAGGCATCGCTCGGTAGCGTCTCGGGGAAAAGGGCTGGCAGCGCGCCTTGTTCACCGGCTCTCCCTCAGTACAGCGCCTCATGCACCCTCCATGCGGAACTGCAGCCTGCCAGCCAGCAGATAGACAGGCTGGCTGGCAGGCTGCAGTTCTGGATGGAGAGTGCAAGAGGCGCTCTCTTGGGAGAGAGCTGGCGAATGAGGTGAGGCTTTTTTTGAGTCCTGACAGCAGAGGACACGTGGGCGTTTCAGGGGGGCAGGCAAGGCGGGGCCCACAAACTATCATCCAGCGGGCCACAAATGGCCCCTGGGCTGCATGTTTGAGACCCCTGCTCTAGACCTTGGAGGACTGTACGCATCTTGAACCCAACTTTCTCAATTCCTCCCCGCCCCCCACTAGATGGCTCATTGTGCCCCTAGAAGATGTAGGAGATAGTTTATGTCATTTTAAAGTTGTTTTGTGCCCCACTGGCCCTGTTTTAAGCTAAAAACATCACCATTTCCTTTGGCCAATTATTGTTTTAAAAACAACAGATAATTTAACAAAAGCGTACATCTCAGAATTTTATATATTGTTGTAATACAAAGTCAGTGCAAATAATAACTTTCTCTGTACAAAAAAGTAGGACATATTCAAAGCATATACAGTGGTGCCCTCGCACAACGGTCGCTCCGTAGAGCGACGAATCCGCGCAACGATGCCGTTTTTGCGATCACAAATGCGATCGCAAAATTTAAGAGTTATAGCAGATACTTTACGTTGCAGCAATTAGCAAATTTATTCAAGGCTTTACTGAAGAGTCATTATGATATCTAGTACACACAAAGATTCCCAGTGTGGTATAGTGGATAGGGTGATGGACTAGGAGTCTGGAGTACAGGGATCAAACCCCCCCTCAGCCATGGAAACTCACTAGGGGAGTGGAACTGGTAAAACGACTTCTGAAATACAGTATCTCATGTATCTTGAAAGCCCTGTTAGGGTTGCTATAAGTCAGTTCTTATTTGACTGCACAGAACACACACACATAGTACATACCAAATGTTATTTCTTGGCCAATGAGAAGTAGACCCACAAAAAAAAGTTAACCCCTCCATCTTGAGAAGGCAGAGTTAAGGGAAATTTCTGGCTGTGGGTGGGAAGGAGGAAAGCACTACTACTCACCACCTGTTTTGACTGTGCCTTCTTGGTGACAACAAAGTTTTTTCATAGGTCTTTCTTTCTTTGATTTTTTCCCCCCATTTTCATCCCAGTCCCTCTTTTCTCATAATTTTAGCCAGTTTAGTAATTTGGAAGGGGACATATTGGTGCCATTTGACCTTTCTCAGTAAGTGCTAGAAAGCAAGATACTAAACTACACAGTAGAGTGAGACCTGGTAGGCCAAAGCCTCAGTACAGTATCTGTTTTTCCCTGGCCTCCCGTCCCCCTTTGCCAGTGCAACAGCTTTGTTCTGCTGGCCCATCTCAGTAGTCTCGCAGCTGTGTTAAATAGCATAGGAGAATATGTCGCATAGCATAAAATAAGAGCCTCAGTGGAAGTCTTTATTCTTGTATAGTTGATAGGCAGAGAAAGCATTTCTTATGTGTCAGGGTCTCAAGGTATAGGTGACTTCAAAGGTTAAAACCACTACATTGAGTTGAGCTCAGAAGCAACCATGAAACCAGAAACCAATTTAATTGTCTTACAGTTGCACATATGTTCCTAGTGAGCAATCTGTTTTAAAATCCTGCTGTATTTTAAATTAACTCTTCAAGCACAATCTCATGTGCAACATACCACAGTAATTCATTAACCCTTTCCCAGCCCCTAACCAGTTCATGCAGCAGTCCAGCTCTTCCACTGACATTGTATTTGACATGGAGGAATAAAGTTGGGTTTGCATGTTGTTGACTCTTTGGTACAAATCCCTGTATGAATTCTCCCAGCAGTTTTACTTGTTAACAGCGTGGTAATAAAATGAATCTTGTGGGAGCCTGTGGGGCAAGTGCAAAGTGTCTGGAGTGCCCTTTACTGCTGAGCATGTAGAAAGGAGTAAAACCACACCAGTTTGCCCCTAACTCTCAGTTTGTGTACCCAGTCCAAGGGTATGCTATGTCAGGGTATAAATGATGGCTAAGAAGCCCCAGTGAATTTACAGGGTTGTATTCCTCTGTCTCTTACGGTACAGGTAATTCATTAGAGAGTAAGAAGATAGCTTCTGCATTAATTGGAAATGAAATCCATAGAAAATAGGTCTAGAAAATCAATTTCAGGTAACAGACTCTGGATAGATCCTGTACAGCTTCCTCATATTTCAGTACCCCCAAAATAGGATGTTTGCAAGTAGCCAATAATGGTTGGATCCAGATGAGTGGTCTTAAGGCTTACTCTTCTAAGTCTGCTGGAATGTCCTCTTTTATGATTTCTTCTTTTCATAGACATAATTCTGATTATAAGAAGTATATAATGTAGATTTCTTCTTGGCTACGATTGAAATCTACTGGTCTTTTCAGGTGACTTTCAGAAATCAATTGACTTGTTCACAGAAGCCATCAAGTTGAATCCTCATCTGGCAATCCTGTATGCCAAGCGAGCCAGGTGAGAGCTTGAAATACTTGTGCTTTAGAAGAGGTCAGGCTATACGTCCCTCAACACAGTTGAAAGAAGAGGTTAGGCTATACGTCCCTCAACACAGTTGAAAGTACTGTAGTCTCATTAATGCCAAATTTCTAGGATACTGTTGATGTTTCACAGCTCCTTACTAGATGAGCCATTAGAAAAGTTCAGCTTCAGGCCACTACAGATTTATTTTTTAATACCTCCTCTGGCTACAACAGCCGTTTAGCCCCTTGTGCATCTCTAAGAAACTGTCTTGCCATTTTTAATAGCCATCAATCACCTAGAAGAACGAAATGATATTTTTCTGTTCCTTAGGGTTATGGCAGAAATAGTTGCAAGACAATCTACTGGGGAAAAGATCAGGTGTTAAAAATAATCTTGAGCTATTAGCGTGTTTAGAGAGGAGCTCCTAGGTTTATACCCTCTGTCATCACTTTCTGTGTTAATGACAGGTCTGAAGAGGTGGGGATTCCTGCTCATGTGGAGTCTGTGTGAGTCAGAACACTAGTAAATCAGTAGTATAAGGAATACAGTGGTACCTTGGTTTACGAACGCCCCGGTTAATGTAATTTTTGGTTTATGAAGCAAAATCAATTTAAAATAATGCCTCGGTTTATGGGTTTTTTAAGGGTACAAAGAAAGTTTCTCCAGGATGCATTGTGCCTAGAGGTTTATAGTCCCGCCCCTGTTCCTATGGCAATCTGCTTCGGTTTATGATTTTTTTGCATTCTGTAATGTCCCATAGAACACATTAAATCCATAAACCAAGATATACCTGTATGACCCCTCACTTAGGCAGGAACCCTTTCTTCAGACCTGTCAGTGACTATATATGGAAAGTGATGTCAGAGGAGGATGGCGCTGGATACTCCCTTAGAAATGGTTGAGAAACCATGATTCTTATAACACCTGAATGGTTACATCAGTGTCTTCAACTTTCAGTTGTTTATAGTTTGTCTTTGCTTCTGATCCCTGCCAGTGCTTTCTATCCATGTGACTTCTGTTTCTCTCTTTACTGTCACTGCACCTGTATACATGAGGTCAAATTATAATATGTATAAAAATTACCATATTTTTCTGTGTATAAGATAATACTTTTTATCTAAAATCTTTAGACTAAAAATTAAGGGTTGTCTTATACACAGAAATAAGGGGGGGAAGGGATCAAAACGCTGTAGGATCTCAGCCTTTTGATCACTGCTTTTCCTGCTACTTCCTAAGCCCCACGGGGTTTAGGAAGTGGAGGGGGAAAGCAGCAATTAAAGGGCTGCAGGATCACAGCCCTTTGATCCTGCAGCCCTTTCACAGCTGCTTTCCCAGCCACTTCCTAAGCTTCTCAGGGCTTAGGAAGTGGAGTGGGAAAGCAGTGATGAAAGGGCTGTACAATTTCATTCCTGCTACCCCCTCCACTTCCTAAGCCCTTTGAGCCTGTTTTCATGGGGCTTAGGAAGTAGAGGGGAAAACAGCGATCATATTTTCTAATTTGGGTTAAAAAATTGGGGGTCATCTTATACATTTGGTAATCTTATGCACAGAAAAATATGGTAGGTTTATGTAAAAGTAAACATATATTTTGATCCTCTTTGAACATTCTTAGATATCATGTTCCTAAATCAAAGTTTGGTAAGTGTAAGACAGTCTATGACTTATCTTTGCTGGGTGCTAACATTAAACAGGTTATATTTTTCCTAATGTTGCTACAAACAAGATACTTGTAAGTAAACATTGAAAAAGCTAGTGCTTTATTGTGGAAAAGAAAAAACATATCTGATACACTGCTGTAACAGTACTGGAGCTTTAAGCTGAACTTTTGATGTACAATATACTTGTTAGAATGCATACAAAATACTGAAACAACTTGTAATTTTTAGGGGGAAGGGAACAATTAATTGAATGGCTACTATAAGTCTTGTGTAACTTGCTTTAATATCCCTATATCCCAGATGCATGACTTGAACAATGCACAACTGATTGTTCTGAAACATGCATGCTCTCATTATTGTTGACAGTGTCTTTGTCAAAATGCAAAAGCCAAATGCTGCCATAAGAGATTGCAATAGAGCCATTGAGATTAACCCTGATTCAGCGCAGACATACAAATGGCGAGGAAAAGCCCAAAGGTAAATAAATTACAGCTTCACTTTATATTGTAGTACCCTAATTGATTAAGACAACATTCTAATGTAGCTATCTACTAAAATGTAAACTAGTTGGATGGTTGGTGCTCCTTTTAACAGGAGTCAATTCTGAGTATAAGACTTCTAATACCAGTACTTCTAAAAGAGGCTTATGGTTGTGATTTACAGTTTTGATCTGGAACCGAATATGATCCAAACAAATCAATCAGTTGTTGGAACAAGCATGTTCTAAAAGCATGATATCCATATATATCAGCATATTTTAGGATAATGGTTTCCAAACTTTTCAATATTACACCCTCCTTTTGATTTCAAGAAACTCTCCTATTATCCAACCCGATTAACAAAAGATTAAGTTTCTAATCTAAAAGATTAACATACATTTAATCAAAATTATTGTAGCTTGAAAGAAGCACAAATACTTTTTTTCTTGTCAAATCCTAAATTCTAGTAATAATAACTATCAGAGAAGTTTAATTAAGCTGGCATGAACATTTTAAATTAATGAAACTTTGGCTGTCTTGGGCTTGCTTGGTAAGCACACTCCCCAGACTAGGCATCAGTACTTCTGTCAGACTTAATGAGACATTTTGAATTTTAAAATAGTAATATGTAGAATTATTAATTGAGGGCATAACTGTGCATTTCGTGGTGGGTTTTTTTAATGATATGGGTTAAATTTGGTTTGGAAGTGTATTTACATAAGAACAAATGTTGATGTCCTGAATTGGAATCTTGTAATTGCCAGACTGTTGGGTCACTGGGAGGAGGCTGCACGTGATCTGGCTTTGGCTTGTAAACTGGATTATGATGAAGAAGCTAGTGCCATGCTGAAGGAGGTGCAGCCACGAGTAAGTAATAAAAGGAAGAAAGATCACAAGGGGGGATAATGTTCATTGCTCATGCTTTCATTTCACTTGTGCCGGAAAGCAGTGCATTTTGGAATTATTTGTGACTTTATAGCTCCAGACAAGTACACATGGACACTGTGTTTCTATCCTGACAGATTGCTGAAGTGCAATCCTTTATAAAGATTACAAAGTTTCCATACAGTTAGTTATTGCTTATCATTTGATAAACACATTATGTGAAACAGAAATTTAATGATAAATAAACCTTCATTACCTTCCAGTATATAGTATGTTCAGTGAAAAAACAGCAAATAAATCTATTCTGTGTGACTTGGCTCTGAAATCACTGCTTGGAGCACAGTACATTGTTCCTTGTTTGCTTTGACACAAGGGAGCGCTGTCTGCTTTAATAATAGGGAAAATTATTTTCTGTAAACTTATTTCAAGGGAGCCTCTCCATTATTTGCAAGCTGAGGTAAAGTGATCAAATAATAATTTTGTATTTGCTTTACTTTATACTTTAAGTACTTCTCTTACTGTATAACAATACATGTATGGTACAGTAAAATGCTGTAAATACCTTAAAGTGTAAAGATAGGAGGGTAGTTTTATTTTGTTTTTGTCTTTGTTTTGTGGAACTTTGATATGATAGCCCTGCCTCTTGTTTCCTCTCTTTGGCACTGTATAGGATGGTGTGGGTAATACATGCCCCCTACCTGATTTTATAGTCCTAAAAGCCTTCTGCTTCACTGTAGCAAAATTATTTTCTGTTAAGAAAAGGGAGAGTCCTATTGCTGGAAACCTGATTTTGACTAGAGCAAGGCATGCCAGCCCTTTTGACCCTTCAGTAAGTTTTCAGAAATCAGGTGGACTTTCAGCCATTTCTGCCTGTGGTTTCAGGGGCTTGTACAGTTTCCAGTGCTTTTAAGGGGGATTTGCCTTCAGACCTTTGCAACATGGACATCCTTGAGGTACAGGGTGCTGCTGTCTTCAGTGTCCTAATCTGATATTGTACAAATTCGTAGAAGTATATAATATTCTTTCTTTTGTATCTCAGGCTCAGAAGATTGCAGAACATAGGAGAAAATATGAAAGAAAGCGTGAAGAAAAAGAAATCAGGGAAAGAATGGAAAGAGTAAAGAAAGCTCGGGAGGAACATGAGAAAGCTCAAAGGGTGAGAGTTTAATAAATATATAGTAGGAAAATTATACATCATAATAATATGTCAAAACTGTTATTTAATTTATTCATTGCATTTATATGCTGTCTTATGAAAACAGTGGGATAATGCTTATTCAGCTCTAGTGAAATTTAGTTCTTGCACAAAAGCACATCAGCTTCAACCAGCCTCTGCTTCAGTTTTAATTAAATCTTAATTGTAGAGAACTTTAAAATGGTATTGGATGCAGTGAAGTTTGAAATCTGATGCTAGAATTGTGTGGTGATGTTCTACCCATATGAAAAGAAAATGTAAGTGTTAAATCTTAAATCTCTGGCTCATGTATAGCTTTAGATCTGTTTCTAATAATTGTAGATAATTTAAAGTTTTCTGCAAGCTCACTTGAAAGCTGAACATGTGGACTGTTCCTACGATTCTTCTAACTGCAGGAAGAAGAAGCTCGTCGACAAACAGGAGGGCCTCAGTTTGGAGGCTTCCCAGGTGGTTTCCCAGGTATGTAATTTCAAAACATGGATCCAATGGAAAGTAAAAGAATTCCTGTATGAATATGGATCACAGTATTTTGTTTCGTTCGGTGGAGGGATAAACAGAAAGTTGTACTTAAAAATGTTGAGCCTTACCAACTCAAGCCAAAATTATGTACATGAATGGAGTAAATAAATAATATTAATATAAACAGACAAATGGCTGTGGTCTGTGAGACTGTAGATGTAGTATGGGGACTATACAAATAATCAAACTGACCCCTCCTTTTATAATAATCTCTTATTAAGAGGTGAGGTGATGACAACATTTGCTATAGGGAGGTTTGCCTGGTATTATCTTTGCTTTTTTAAGGTACCAGGCAAAAGCCTTCTTTATGTTTGCAGTGGGCTAGTTATATTAAAAGTTTCACTCTCCTAGCCAAAGGTGTGTTTTGGTAATTTGCTAGATATGGAAGACTTTTAGAGAGTAGAAGACCATTAAGATGCATATATTATATTGCAGTGATTTTTTGTTCTCTAAATTTATCCATTACATTTGCAGGTGGCTTTCCTGGTGGTATGCCTGGTGGTATGCCTGGAATGGGGGGCATGCCTGGTCTTAATGAAATTCTTAGTGACCCTGAAGTTCTTGCAGCCATGCAGGTGAGAATGTAAAAACAGGTGAAAATGAAGGATGAGACCTGACACTTACATAAAAACTGTAATTATATCTCAAAACCTTCCTTGATGAAACACTTCCCATTATTTGTTGATTTTCATTCATCTTTATTCAACTGTTCTACTTTGAATATACTCATAGCATTAATATAGCCTTGATAGCAAATATAGTCTGTTGAATGTGTATCTGCAGGTAATAACACCTTTGGGAGCCTCAGAACAAGGAGGGGGACATTAATATTAAAATAAATCTCCAGATTGACACTGCTAGGATTGGGACTGCTGGTGGTAATGCAGCTGTGATTTTTTATGATTAAAAGTTCCCCACTCTATCTCAGGATCCCCAAATACTTCCCCAAGGCAAAAGAGAGCCCTAGGGAGCCTTGGAACCTGAAATGGGATAAGAAACTTTCATTTAATTTGACCTAGTTATTTCTGGTGCCTGGATCTGGTTTATGATGGTATAAATATGTCAACAGGATTTTTGGGGGGCTATCTTTCTATTTCCATCTTCTGCTTCAGACCATAACACAACTGGCTGTACTCTATACAGTATGTCCACTCTTTCTCCTCTGCAGCTCTTGGGCTTTTAGATTGTATTCTAGTAGATGGTTTAAAGATCATCATTTTTAAATCTGACTCGGGTTATTACATTAACATGACATTTGATTATGTGTAGAATTGTGCTCCTTGTGTAAAACCAATGAATACAGTGATGTTGTATATTTCAAATAAGAAATATAACCATTTTTCTTTCTTGTTTTCCAGGATCCAGAAGTCATGGCAGCTTTCCAAGATGTTGCCCAGAACCCAGCAAACATGTCAAAGTACCAGAATAATCCCAAAGTCATGAATCTTATTGGGAAACTATCAGCCAAATTTGGAAGTCAACCCTAAAATCTTTTCACTGCAACGCACAGGGGAAATATCAAACACATAGCATATGTTGCAATAACACAAATAACTGTACTTCTGATTCTCAAAAGAGAACTAGAGTACTGTGGGTAGAAACCACCTCCCTTCCCCGTACCTGTTTCAGAAATAAATGGCAACCAGCTCACAATTTGTGTTTTATTTAAAGAAAGAAAAATGCTTTCCCCTCTCACCACCTTTGTCCAGGGAGTTGTCTTACTCAACAGTAGTGGAGTTTACTTTTAAATTGTATTCATTGTAATCTTCCAGTAGAGTGTACCAAAAAAAAGTAGAGTGGATGGGTTTTTTGTTTTTTAATTTTAGTGGTGGTAGGTAGGGGAGGATAACAATGTTGGGTTTGTTTATAATGGTGTTGGTTGTCTGCTTCCTTGTGGTTGGACTCCTTGCTAAGAATTTCTAATATGAGGAGGTGAGGGTTAGTAGATGTTTTACCTGGAAGAAATTGTACATCATACATATCCTTTTTTTTTAATTTTAATTTTTTTTTACATTCACAATAGTGATTTAAATTGTGAAAAATCAATTCTTCATAAATTAGATCCCTATAGCGGGGGGTGGGGGCGTACCCTTACCGTTGCATGCTTCAGCTTTAAATATATTAATACAAGTGCTGCTGAGGCTTTACTACTTATACAATCAGTGGCTGCAATCCAGTAGTAAATTGCAACTAGAGTAGGTCCATTGCATCAGTGGAACTTAAGAGTTGAATCACTAAATCACTGTTGATTCAGTGGCCCTACTCTAGTGACTTACTACTGGATTTTAGCCATTATTTAGTAGATGTTGGTCATCTTTGTCATGGGGACAACATATTTCTGTTAGCATTAGTAAACTGATCAACTTCAACAGTAGTGCTTACCTGGTTAAACTTCTTAATATAAGAGGAAAGCACATTGGTCCTCACCATCATCTCACACAGTTCTTAAAAAAATAGAATGTATGTGTACAGTACAGGTTTATTAGGTGATGAAGCTATGAATTTTGAGTTCAAGAGAGTCCTATTCAGCCCACATATCTTTGTCAGAACTTCAAGATTTAGTGCTGTTCTGTTTCACAGTTTAATTCTTTCATATTTCCATGTACCCCAAATTATTAGATGCTTAATATTGTGTTACGAGTTTCTGTTAATACCATATTGTCTCGTGCTTGTGGGTTTCAGTTTTGGAGAGAGGAGAAAAGTATGGCCTAAATTTTATATCTGAAATATAACTGCAGCATGTACATTCATTGAACATCTTGCTGGAATGTTCAATGATAACTAATGAGAGCTGGCTTTTGTCTACTAAAATTTTGATTTTCTGCTCTTGCTGTTGGAAAGCTTATAATAATTAGGTCTTGATCTCTTCTAGAGCTTTTGAATGTTTTTTGTCCTGTGCTCTTGTAATTCTGTCTGAATTCATAAGTGATGTATGTTTTCTGTTTTTTAATTAAATCCTGCTCTGGTTTAGGAACTCAACAAATTCTACAAATAAACTTTAGGAAGTTTTTTTTTCCTTATACAGTATATATCTTGTCAAATGAAAGGAGATAAATACATTTTTGCTTAAATAGTTCTGAAAATACTTCTAGTTGCCTTTAAAAAATAATAAAGACTGGTTTTGAAGAAATTTCTTAATCTGTGCATAGTAATACTTAACAGAAATTTATTTTCACTTATTTATTCTAGATATTTTAAGTATTTGTTCTGTCATATGGAAAAAGATAAATATTTTCTTATGACAGAGGAGACTCTATGGATCAGAATGTCGAATGAATATATGTGGAATGGGAGAAAATAAGGGGGAATAGACAGATCCTTTAAGTCAGTGGTCCCCAACCTTTTTGACACCGTGGACTGGTTGGGGGGGATGGGGTCCATGCATGGGAGGTGGAACACCCCCCTCGTGCATGCGCAAAGGAGCAATGCTCACTTGCGTAGGTGCACAGCAGTCATGCGCATGTGCAAAGGTGTGGGAGTGCATGCAGGGGGGCAGGAGATCTGTCTCCACGGCCCGGTCTGACTATGGACCGGCACCAGGAGTTGGGGACCCCTGCTTTAAGTGACATAAATTCTTAGTCCTCCTACATACATTTTGATAACTTGGCTGTTTGATGGAGCATATATTATCTGTAGAGCCAACATCCCTTGCATGATTTATTCAGCATAGATAGTTTGATACATTTACAGACATAATGTGGAGAGCTCAGCTGCAGGGTAAAGTTCTGTTTGCCTATTTCTAATGTCCAAGTGCATCTTCTAAATCAGAACAAATCAAAGCAGTGGTGACATATTTTGCTGCATTAATATGCTGTCATTCTGACAGTGGGACTCAAGGTGTTTTTTAAATTAAATTGACTAAGATCACAGGCAGCTTCTAGTCTACTAAATTTCAACCCTAGGTAAAATTCTTTTAAAAAGAAAATGATCTTGAAGGTGGGGAGAGGGGAGGTGTATCCTGTACAATTAAAACCTGTTCTTTTTGTAAAAAAATGTTTCAAGCAGTGTTCTGTACAAAAATAGGTAGCCTTCCATCATAATGCAGTCATAAATATATATCATCCCTGATGAATACTATAAGAAACTAGTAGGGCAAGGGATGTGTTGATTTGATATCCTGTCATTGCTTTAATAAATGGACTCTAAGGAGATTTATAATAAGTACAATTTAAATGCAAAATTAATTAAAATATGAATACAACCTAAATACAAAACGAGTAAAACCAAACATTTTTAATGTAAAAGTACATCGTAATAGAAAAGTTCAGCACTCTCTGGTTTAAGAGCCCTTTGTACAACAAGTAAAGTCAGTTGCCAAAGGCCAGCCAAATCAAAAACTGTCTCGGGGGTGAGTGAGGAGGGAATTAGCTGATATTTCATTAGGGAGTTCCGAGCTGGGAGAGGCTGTTGAGTGAGCCCTAGAGATATGGTGGTGAACTTTTTTGGGCTCGTGTGCCCAAACTGGGAAAAAAAAACAGCGGGCAGTGTGCCGTGGTGGAACCAGAAGTGGTGGCGGAAGGGGGAATCCCGGCACAGAGGCGCCTCGAAACCCCACTCCGGATCCGCTGCCAGCGCCAGCTGTTCCGAATTCGCCTGCTGAAGTGCCAGGACCGCAGCTGCAGCCACCTTCTGAGGTTTGGCTGCACGGGGGGGGGGAGCAGCGATCTGCCAACTTATGGTTCGCGTGCCGGCAGAAAGGGCTCCGAGTCGTTGTGTGGGTTGGCGCCAGGGGGGGGGGGAGTAGCGATCTGCCAACTTATGGTTCGCGTGCCGGCAGAAAGGGCTCCGATTGCCAGCTGTGGCACGTGTGCCATAGGTTTGCCATCACTGCCCTAGAGTTATAGCTGTAGAACTGGCAACATTTGGCTTTCAAAAGATGCCACACCAAACCTGGAAAACTGGTTTTGGAACCAAGTGAAGGCAGATTTGTGCTTTGGATAATAACAGTTCTACAATATAGTATCTGCTCCAGATGTATATAGTTATTTATTTGTCACCTGGATGCATATTACGGAGCATGCCAATCTATGATTTTGAGAGGATAACATTCCTGATCTTAGATTTTAGATTATGAGATAAATATGATACTGAGGTATGTGGAAATTGAAGTGACATCAGATTTGTAAACCATACCTCAATGCACTCCTTTATGTGGTAAGACAGCTTAAGTATATCAGGCAAGCTAAGAGCAGTACCACCAGGATGCTGAACAGATACAAATCTGGACTCCTAGCAGGGTCAGCCAAGGCAGAATGTTCAAAGCTGAGATGGGCGAAGATGCAGCCATCTGCTTCAGGAATTAACAGTCACATAAGCAGAAGTTCACTGATTGTTCACTGAGGTGGGGTGGGGGGACAAAGAAACTCCTGAAGAACAGCAACTGAACAGTAGCAGCAGTGGAAGGTGTCACTGGCACAGGATCTTAATTGACATTAGCAGTGACACAGAAGCTAACTTGCCAGTGTGCTGAAGAAGGCAATTATAAGTGATACATGAATATTTTATACCCTGAAATCTCCATGATAACACAACCCAAAATGAGATAATGTTGGAAGATAGAACTCATAGGCTGGATGGCCACTCAGTCGGCTGTGGGGAGGAAAAAAGACAGGTATGAATAAAACTTGTACCAATTAATCAACTATAAAGCCTGAAAGGATATCTAACTTCCTTTTGAAATTAAAAAAGGCTGCATAACTAGAATATGCAACATGAGAAGTATGAAGCAAGTTAAAACTTTGAACCATAAAACAAATGGAATGACTTGTATTATTTGGTGGAAGTGAACTGAAATAGGACATTTTCAACCAGTTACAACATTTTACTGTGGAAACAAATTAATAAGAAATTAAATAGCTCTAATAGATGAGAGAACATGGGCAAAATCTGATTGGCTTAAATCCTGTTGCTTAGCATAGTAAGTTACAATTAGAGTACGCCCATTGAATCAATGGAACTTAGAGGAGTTACCAAATTTCCACTGATTCAACAGGCTTACTCTAGTTTCAACTCACAACATTAAGCAATAGGATTTAAGCTACTGAATACTGTACTATGATTCAATTTTTTTTGAAAACTTTCAACAACCTTAATTCAGGTCTATGATCCAGCAGCTGATGCCAAATAGGTAGCAGAAATATTTTATTTGAGTGTCCAGGAAGAAGCTTATTAAATGTCCAAGCAGGATGTGTTGATAATCATGAATTAATGCAATACTGTACAAAAGAAGAAAATGAAGCAGAATCAAACATTGTCAGGAAGTTGGGTCTAACAAATGGAGCAAGAACACAATTAATGAAATTAATGAAACCACCGATCTCTTGCTTCAAGCAATTAGACTCTGCTTTGAGTAATTTCTATAGTGGGCAATACAAAACAGAAATCAAATAGACTGTGTAACTGGAGGTAGAAAATGGAGAACCTCTGTTATCCCAGCAAAAATAAGTCTAGGAACAGATTGTGCTATGGACCACATATGGTAAACTTGAAAAACAACAAAACACAAGTACCAAGACATAGACTGAAAAACATTTCTGATGAATGTAAAGTCCAAATAAAGGACATATTTGCATTATTAAACTCAACTGACTGCAAATTAGAAGAACTGTGGACTGAAACCAGAGAGATTATCAGGGAAGAATGCAGAAAGTCAAACAAAAAAACGCAAATAGCAGACTCATGATATTATTAACAAGGATAAGAAGCAAAAGAAAGGGTGACAAATAGGACTCTGAATCTTAAATGCAACTTTTCAATGGCTAACATGTAAGGACAAAATACTGTATTACAATAATCTGTGGTAAGAAATAAAACAAGAAAGGAGGCCAAAGAAAAGGGAGCTATCTTGCGTAAGATAAAAGATATCAAAGAGAAATTGACACTAAGATTAGGGATGTTGAAATATCAACAGGGGTTTATACTATATGGGCAGGACAAACTATAAAGTGGAGATGGAAACTGAAGAGACACGAGGATGACCGTGTTTGACAAGAGCAGTCTGGAATCCGAAGCGACTGGGCGGCGGGTTACAAGGACGGCATCACAGATAAATGCCCTTAATTCTTTACCTATTGTGCATCTGACATACAGTAGATGAAAATCAGTTTTTTGGGGGGGGAAACCCAACAGCCTAATAATAGTCACCGCAGAGCATGTAGGAAGAATATGACAGAGCTGGGACTGGGACTCCGACGCCACGTTCCTCAGCGAGGGCGGACTCGCTCCGTGACTATTTTTTGACCGCTAGTACGTGATTGGCGGAAGCTTGGGAGGGGGGGAGACGACGACGACGGTGGGCGCCCGGGTCACGTGACACGGCGGTGACGTGACCGGGAGGAGGAGGAGGGAGGGGCAGCGTTTCAGGCGGGTCCGTTTCTTCCCTGCCTACCTGCTGGGTTCTTCCCGCCTCCTTTCTTTCCATGCAGCCGAGGAAGTTTGAGGCGGCGGACGGGATCGCGATGGCCGGGGTGTTCTCTTACGAAAGTCTGGTCCATGCCATGGCTGGGGCCGTGGTGAGTGGACTCGAGGCGGCGGCGGCGGCCTGGGAGGAAGGGAGGGGGGCGGAATAGGGGAGCGCTCCCGCGGTGGGGCTGGGTGGGTGGGTGGCGGGTGTGGGAATCTCGCCTGCCCGCCAGGCTAATTAAGGCGCTGCTCGTCGTCGCCCGTCGAACTTTTGCCTCAAACTGCCGCGACGACGGGCGCCTCCAGACAGATGGGATGATGCGAGCCCACTCGGTCGGGTTGGCTTGGCGGGTGGCCTGTCGGGAAAGGAATGTCGCCCCTCGCCTGTTCCGTCCTGGTGGCAGAAACAGGGCGCCGGTGAAGGCTTTCGATGTACATTATAGGGGAGGCTGTCGGCAAAATCTGTGTCCCACGAGGGGAAAGGTGAACGAACTTCTCCTCTCCACCGGGCAGGTGCCAGTAAATAAACGGATCCCCGTTTCATATAACCAGGAAATTGTTACATTTTTAAAACAACCCATAGTTTAACTCACGGGTGATCGATTACCATTTATCAAAACTATCGATCACCTTTATCAAGAACTCACTGTGGTAAATGTACAAGTACTGTACAGTAAATTCTTTTATTGAAGCCCCTGGTATCAGGTTGGCGTCAAGAGGCCCTTCTGGTACAAATAAAATAAATGTTATTAGAGTACAGTACTACATAATGAGAAATATGAGTTGTGTTTTTGTTGTTTTTGAGGGAGAACAGCCTTCAGCAGCAAGGCAAGCAAAAGTAGAAGCAAACATTTTTGTCATGTCACATCAAATATAGTTTGCAGTGTCTCTTATAAAAGAGGCTAGGGGCTTGCCCATTTTACCCCAGTCCCAGTTATGCCATAAATATGTTTAATAGCCTAATGATGGTTGTTTATGCTGTTTTAGTTTATTGACTTATATTTACTGTCTCTGGTATAATAATAGAGCTGTTCAAGTTATTGTCTCTTTGCATCCACTCTGTCTTTGCCTTATAGAAATGGCAAGGTTAAAAAAATGCAGTTACCATTGTCAAAAGCAGTACATTGTTATGAAAATCATGGACTCTGAGTTTGGCCTTGTTGTTTGGTAGTTAATATCCATTGTTGGAAGGATAAATCAAATACATGCAAAAACTTATTTTCAATTGTTTTGAAGTCTTTTTATTTGACCACCTGAGTGGTGTTTTTGGATCATCAGTTTACACATACTGTTTGACAACCTTTTCTCAGAATATTTGAGGATCCAGAAGTGAGTGAAAAAAGGCTTGTAAGACTGGGAAAAGGAATTTGAGACAGTGGGTAATAAATATAATTTTTAAATATAAATTTTTAACTTGTGTTCTATAAGAAAAGAGGGTGTATGCAGAAGAAAAAGCACAGATACTAAAATAGTCCTATGCACAATGCTGGCCATTGCAAACTCCTGTATCAGAACTTGATCAAAACTGTGAATAAACCAAATGCCAGTTTCAATAGAACTGAGATGATTCATGCTATTTATCAAATGCTGTACTTCTGCTAATTTTGAAACATTTTTTTAGAATTCTGCATGTACAGTATATAGTTGCTCCACTCAGAAGATTAGTAATGTGTGTTTAGACTGAAGGAGCCCAGGACTGTTTCATATGTGAAACTGTTACAGTATTAGTGTTTACCAACTCTTTACATTCATAACTTGTTTAGACATGTAAAGGTGGAGCAGATATGGAAGTGAATGAGAATTATGATATGCTTCCTCACTCTGGATTGCAAAACTATACAGTATTTAAAAAACTTTAAAGACATTAAGATGGCTTAAAATCAAGTTCAAACTTTTCTTTAGCCATATGACTGAAAAAATCTGATAATCAGTGGCAGAGTGGATTTGATTTAATCATATCTCAGAAAAACTTGATTTGATCGTGATTTTTTCACAAAAATGCCCACTTTATGAATATGTATTGAGATGCATACTGTATAGTAATTAAATTTCTTTCTCCAGATTATTTCCCTGTCCATTAATCTTGTATTCTATTCAAAGACAGAGGGCTCAGAGTAAGGTTTTGACTTTGTCTACGGAACTGCAGAGGGACAGGAACTAGGATTGCCACTCTAAAACAATAAGAATCACTAAGGAAACTACTGTACTGAAAGCTCTCTTAGATATTTTGTTATGGTTCCCAAGAATTGTCAACATTATGCCATGTTGAAAGAGGCAAAAGCTCCAGGAATAACTAGTTATATATGAAAAGGAGGTTGAATAGGTGTTTTATTTCTCATTTCATATATATATATATATATATGCTGTTGATATTTGTATATGCAAAACAAGTTTACAAAATGCAGATTTTTCTGATGGCATCTTACCAGACTGAGTAGTTACTATCTGAAATAGTAAAATAAATCTATGTAGAAGCCAATGAAGTACCATGAAATTGAGACCACAATCCAATAACTATTTGATTTTTTTGTAAATTATTGTATGAATGTATTGACTGAAATTTTATTGCATAGCTCTGCATGTTCAGTAGAAATGATGTCATAATTGGGGCAAACTGCTGCTAATTACAGGGAAACTGTCACTGGTTAAAGGCAATTTCAGAAGGACACGACTTATACACAATATGAAATCCTCATTAATCAGTGGCAATTTGTTGCTGCTGTAGTTGTTATGCACATACTGTTATGCACATACTGTAGATCTGTGCAATAAGATTTCAGCCACTGTCTCAAAATGAAGCTTTAGAATGACAGTCTTTATTTCATAATGAGATCTTAGAGTGGTAACACATTTTAAATTAAAATTTATTATCACATAGAGCTTTTAAAAAACAGCCATTTTAAAAAGAAATATTTTGTAAACATTGATTTGTACATCTGATTTTTTAAAATTGGTCATATTCCTATTGGGATTTTATTCTTGAGTAAATGAAATCACATAAGTTGTGGTGGCAAATTGCCAATTAATGAGGTGATTGTTGTGTGCCTGGTTGTCTGATAAGGCAGGTAGTCAGTACCCTTTTAATTAGCTGTAATTCACCACTATGGCTTACATGATTTCACATACTCCAGAGTCAAATCCCAGGAGGAATTCTGGCCATTGATTTTTCTTCACCCCAATGAATTGAAAAATTGGGGAACTCTCTGTACATGTTTAATGAGGTGCTTTAAGAATTCAAAAATGTGCACTTGAAGTCTAATGTAGCTTAGTTAAGCCATATACAGAGGTATTGTATAGTTCTGCTTTGCACGTTAAGCCCATTTTTAGTATCGATGACGCTGTTGCTGCTAAAAGGTGGTGTGCTGAAATAATACACAAGTGATACAGTGCCTACTAAAAAATAAGCGACTGGCTCTTATTTTTGTAGTTATGGTTGTCACCTCTTGTGCCAAACCTGTTACACTAGTAGCTGCATATGTTCATTTAATACAAGAGAGGTAGCTAATACAGTTTCTGTTATACTAGAGGTTGTGCAAGCAGTTGTACAACCATTGATGCATTGGTGTAATCCAAGACAGCTGCACTAATAGGACGTTTACTCTGCTAGTATTATGTTGGTATTTTTTTATCCATATACATAGTATAACCATATTGAACACTGATACAGTATTATGGGTATATATATTACTTACAATAGATCAGAATTTATAATACTCAACTGCATATATTACGTTAGTGTTCACTTTCACCCAGGGATGGGACTTGAGTTGTGGGACTCGCTGTCAAGTTGGACTTAAGTTGCACTTGTGACTCAACTTGGGTTGTTTTTTTTTCAATGACTCAGACTCAGTTTACGTACTTGGAACCCCCGAGTCACTGAAAACTGCATCCAGGGTTCTGACCCACCTCTCCCTTTTTTCTGGGGAAAAAGCTTGTTTTTAATAGAGACTTGGGCTTGGGACTTGGTACCAAAGACTTGGGCTTGGGACCTCAGACCCAAAGACTTGGCAACATCCCTGCTTTAAACTTTTATGTATGACTGGAATATGTCTTCCAGCTTATCTACATGGCACGTCAGGATTGCAAGTGGTTGCTCTACAACTCTATAAATTCCTTTGTTGGAAACTCTGAAACTTGGAGTGTTCTGTTTATGCAATTTTTATTTATTTATTTATTTATTTGTGCACAGTGAGAAGTTTATTCAGTGATGCAGGAAGTTATATGTCAGTAACATATTGTAATCTGTGCCAAGCTGTTCCACTCTGGTGGGCTGTAAATTATACAACTGAAATGTTTCAGTCTTGATTTAATTCAGTATGACTTGAGTGTATAGAAGATCTTGAAAGCAGGTACGATTGTCATGAAATGGGACTTTTTTTTTCATGGTAAACATAGAAAGAGTCAAAACAGTTTTGCAGAATTCTACTTTTTAATAAAAGTTTGTTCAAAACCTAAAAGTTTGTTCAAATACAGAAAACACAGTGTTTTATCTGGTATACCAGTGGCTTTTCTAGCCCATTATAAATGTATGAAATGTCATGTGATATAGTAAATCTGACTTTCTGTGTTAAAAATTTTAGGGAAGTGTGACTGCAATGACTGTGTTCTTTCCTCTGGATACAGCTAGATTAAGACTTCAAGGTAAGCAAATGTGTACAGTTACATTTAGCCTTGAACTTGTTATTGATTATATCAATAAAAATGAGACTTATATTCCACCAGAAACTCATAGCAGTTAAATTTAGTGATTGGTTTTGTATGCATACCTTTATATTCTTTATGCCGGGTAGGTGGGGCTCGTCAGCCATGGAAGACAGCCCATCTAGGAGAAGGGAAACTCCCAATTTCAAACCTCCACTGCCTTGCAACTATATCCACTCATGGAAAAGGCTTCAGGAGTTAACCTAGAGGCAAAATCCAGAGCTGGAGTCCCGAAGGCAGTTCGTGTCATTCTGCCAACTCCTGCGACGTTGCTGGAACCAGTTGTATTGGCTCTTGCCTTTCCATTGGACCATTTCAGCAATGTGGAGAGGGGGGATCTGCTGCTTGGGTAACAGCCTATCCTCCATATCACTGGTTCTTAACCTTGGGTTACTCAGGAGTTTTGGACTACAACTCCCAGAAGCCTTCACCACCAGCTGTGCTGACTGGGGTTTCTGGGAGTTGCAGTTCAAAAGCATCCGAGTAACAAAGGTTAAGAACCACTGCTCCATATTACTTTACCCAGGCTTCATACTCTGGAGAGGACACTCCTCGATTCAGGGCATGTTACCATAGTCTCTCGAGACTGAAGGATGCCTATAATACTCTTTATATCTGGTATAATGGTTATATGGGGTAGGCATTGCTGTTAAGGTGCTTAATGACAGACTTGTACTACTATCCTTATGATATTTTTTATTTACCCTTAAAAAATTTCAGGGTGGATTTGATTTAAATTACAATTCATACTTAAAAAATAGATTTTTGGCAATTCAAATAAAAAATTGATTACAAGAATACAAGAGTGTGGATGACCTTGGTCTTGGTTCCAATGACACTTCCTTATTTTCTAATTCCTTAATTCCAGCCCTTTTACATCTCAGTCTTCTTCTGATTTCTTGGCTGCAGTATCCATTTGAATTGATGATTGAAACAAGGTATACAACATCTTTAACAATTGCAGTTCCTTCATTTCTTTCAGAATCTGTAGTTTCTCACGATTCACACAAAGGCTTTGCTGTAGTCCATAAAGCATAGACTGAAAATCTTTGCCAGGCTCCAGTAACTGGTGGATATTTGCAATGTGATTTTGAATGCCTCTTCTTTTTTGGAATCCAGCTTGAACACCAGGCATCTCTCACTCCATATCAAAGCCTTTGTTGCAGCATTTTGAGGATCATTTTGTTTGCATGGGAAATTAAAGCAATAGTCCTATATTGCACTCCTTGACATCTCCTTTCTTGGGAATTGGAATGTATATTGAACATTTCCAGTTTGTGGGCCTCCCCCCCCACACACATTTGTTGGCATATTCTTGTTAGGATTTTAACAGATTCAGTCTCTTTACTTGAAATAGTTCTGCTAGAAGCTCATCTATCTCTGATGATTTATTACTTCCTAGAGCTTTCAGAACAACTTCACTTTCTAGAACTGCAGGTTCTTTGTCTTAAGATTCCTTTTCCACGTAAATGATGCACATTCACCTGGTCATCCACCTGATCTAAAAGAAAATGTGATTAATCAGACCAGACAATCTTCTTCCATTGCTTCATGGTCCAGGTCTGATACTCACGTCCCCATTGTAGGACCTTTCAGTGGTGGACAGGGGTCATTGTGGCCGCTTTGACTGGTCTGCAGCTGCGCAGCCCAATATGCAGCAAACTGTGATGCACTGTGCATTCTGGTATCTTTCTATTATGTCTGGCATTAAGTTTTTCAGCAATTTGAGCTACAGTGGCTCTTCTGTGTGATTGGATCAGACAGGCTAGCCTTTGCTCCCTATGTATATCAGTCAGCCTTGGGTGCCTGCGACCCTGATGCTGGTTCACCAGTAGTCCTTCCTTACAGCACTTTTGGTAAGTACTAACCACTGCATACCAGGAACACCTCACAAGAGTTGCTGTTTTGGAGATCCTCTGATCACAGCCATCTAGCCATCGTTATTTGGCCCTTGTCAAAGCCACTCAGATCTTTTTGCATGCCCATATTTCCTGCTTCCAACACATGAAATTCAAGAATGGACTGTTCACTTGCTGCCTAATATACCTCACCCCTAGACAGGTGCCATTATAATCAATGCTATTCATTTCATCTGTCAGTGGTTTTAATTTTATCGCTGATCAGTGTATGTTGGCCATATCTTGATGTCCATATGTACAGTTGACTGTTTGCTTGAAGTATGTATTTGCAGTAACAGATTGTGGGCTTTGCAGAACTTTTATGAGTTGTTCTCCTGCTTCATTTTTGTCCCCTAGACCAAATTGTCTAACAGTGTTTGATTCTGCTTTGTCCTATTTTTGCTGTTGGGTAACCTATCATAAGCATGTCTTGTTTGGTATGTGATCAATTCTGTTTTGACACCAGGAAATTGTAATAAGCAAGATTTTTCCCCTTAACTCAGGATATGTTCTACTGTTTTAGAATATCAAGAGATTTCCCAAGAACCTCCCATACTCTTTTAGTAATGCATAGTCATTGAGGGAGGATCAAAATGATTTTGCTGAACATAGCTTGTAAGTGTTAAAATCTTTGGAAAATGAATTGTTTCTTTGGGACTGATACTTTTAGAACCAGAAAGACCCAGGTAATCTAGGAAGCATTCCTGGCACTAAGATATTTATATTATTGAACAGATGACATAATGGAAAGGAATTATTTAGTACCTAGACCTCTGATCTTGAGTACCTAGTTACATGAGCACACATGCCAGACGTTTCATAATGTACATCTGGAAGATATCCTGCTCTTTATTTCTGTGACTAGGCATGAAAGATGCTGCACGTACATTTTAAATGCATGGAATTCATTGTTTCCAGGAGAGGAGTAAAAAGTGGCCCTGAGAATTATAGAGGTGCTCTCTAGCGGTTACATTCCCTTTATATTCAGAATGTGGGGCTTGGAAAAAGAAGGCAGACTTTTGAAACTGAATATTGGGGAAAATATTCATTTCTTATCATGGATATAGATTAGTTAGTCTTCTGAACTGAATTTAAAGCATGGAATATGACACAGGTGAAGTGATCAGGGAGCGCAGGTTTGTCTTCCAGCTTGCTCACAATCAAAATGTCGCTTCCATATCTGACCCATTTCCTAATTTGTGTCCTGTGTTTCCCTGTGAAGTAGACAGCAAAAGTTCTGTTTCAGGTGAGACAGAAGCCCTTTTGAGACGCTTAATATTAGGCTTTAAGTGTATGAGGAAGGGGTGTGCTCACTACCCTTCAACTCTACTTCACTCACAGGAAAAACTAAAGATCTGAAGAAGAGAGTGTTTTAATTGTGTGGAGAGGCTCCAGATAAGCAACAACCCTGAAGTATCTAAGTTTGGCTCATTGAGACCAGCAGCCCTTTTCTTCAGAATTGTAGCATTTTACAGTACTTGAGCAAAAGATGACTGAGGAAGCAAGGCTAGTGCACTTACCTTATTCTTACCACATTCACTTGATCCTAGTTAAATGCCTGAATAAGATGGAGAAGCCCATGAATTGGAAATTCCAAGGCATTTATATTTCCTGTTTCTATCTGCTCCTCTATTACATCTTGAAGGTGGTGTCATAACAGTACTGTATAAGATACATCCATCATTTTAGTTCTTTAAGAATTAAGATTTGTCTTATTTTTCAGTTGATGAAAAACGCAAGTCTAAAACAACACATGCTGTCTTGTTGGAGATAATAAAAGAAGAAGGACTGTAAGTAGAGAATCTTTTAGCCATTTTTCCTGCAGAGGAAAATTCATGGCTTACATTTTTTACAACCTGACCTTCTAAGTGCCTCAAGTAACTCCGTGGCACGGGCAGTAAATTACAGTAGAGGTGTTTTTGAGGGGTTTAACATCCAATCTTGACCGTTTTTAATATGATAAAACATGTCTTGAAAAAATTGAAGTATGTAATGTAGAAAAACTTATTATTTGCAATCTTTATTTAAAATAAAACCAAGATCGATCTCTCTAGTACCCTGTTTCCCCCAAAATAAGACCTAATCTGAAAATAAGCCCTAGTATGATTTTTCAGGATGCTCGTAATATAAGCCCTACCCCAAAAATAAGCCCTGGTTAAGTGAAAGTCCACCCTCCACCATTGGTAGCAATGAGAAGATGACATGACTGCCTTTGAATAAATGTAGATGGTTGTACATGAGAAAAATAAAACGTCCCCTGAAAATAAGCCCTAATGCGTTTTTGGAGCAAAAATTAATATAAGACCCTGTCTTATTTTTGGGGAAACAGGGTAGTTGAGTTGCAGCAGGCTGAAACATGTCGCAGAATAAGTAGTTTCTGCAACAAACTCAAGGCTTGTAGACTTTTGTGTAAATTGAATATTGTTAATAGTGATAAATGTATAATAAATGGTAAGGAATTATTGCTTTTAGAAAATAATAAAAATGAGACTGTGGCCTTGCTCTCAAATCTAATATATTTATTTTTGTCCATTAGTAGAAAATTGTGCCTCTGTTTACATTTACTTTGAAATAAATACCACACAGTTCAAACTTGTTAAATGTGTGTGGGATTGATTGTATTGCTAAATAATAGTTTCATTGGGCAAAATCTTGTTGGTGTAAAATTATGCCACCATAACCTAGATTGTACACTGGAAACTTTTAATTTAATTTAATTTAATTTATTTAGTTATTTATTTATTCGATTTTTACCCCACCCCTCTAGACAACGTCTGCTTGGGGCGGCAAACTGAAAGCCTCTTATTCCGCCCCCTCAGGATCCAAGGCTTTCTAGATCTTCTTTTTGCCCTGAGAATGTTTTGGGGAGCTTTGGAAGGGCGGGGAAGACTTCAGTAGTCAAATTGCTGCGAGCAGTGCTGTTCCCAGCAGCTGTGAAAGTGTGCCAATTTTTTTTCATTCAAGGTTTCCCCACGTCCCCCCAAAAGGTTCCCCATGGGAATTTGAAAGTGGAGAGAGTAGTACATTTTCAATTAGTTTAAATTAAGTATTTCCAGTCTCCGATCTGGGTTACACTGATGTAAATTTAAGCATCTGCATTTTGCCTATTCAGTTGCTTTGCTTTTTGAGGAATTAAAAGTATTTGCTCTGCTTGTACTTAGTAATATCCTAGGCTGCAGATACTTTTACTTTGCTTCTAATAGTAATTGCACACAATTTTTATGTTTGGTTTTGTTTGGTTTTTTTTTAGCTTGGCACCATACCGAGGATGGTTCCCTGTCATATCCAGCCTTTGTTGTTCCAACTTTGTCTATTTCTATACATTTAACAGCTTAAAAGCTGTTTGGGTCAAAGGGCATAATTCAACTACAGGAAAAGACTTGATTCTTGGTATGGTTGCAGGTAATGGAACATAACCTAGCGTGCTATCAGTCTCTTAAAATTGTGAGGGATTTAATCTACTGATGAATGTATTTTAATATCATGAAGTCTGGGTATTTTGAACTTGGAAATGTTTGAGCACTTTCTTCAGTTTTTTCCCTTTTGTTTTCTAAATTTGATGTATACATTTGCCTTGTTCAACTTAACTTTTTCTTTCATCTTCTTCCTTTTCAAAATCTTTGCTTGATTGTAAACAAAGAAAACCTTTGTTTTTCTAATTTAAGATCTTTCAATTGAGTAGCTAGCTATACTAACACAACAGTGTTTTGAACATGAAATTGATAGACCTTTACCATATGATGCAGTCTGTTTGGCATTTCAGATATCTGGGAAATATGATATTCTTTATAATGTGAAATACCTGTTATCTTTCCTAATCTATAATTCTCCATTACTGTTATCCTGCAGACAAATATTGTGCCTTTATATTGCATACCATGATTTCTGTTACTTACGCTGCTTTATCATAATACACATTTTGTTTTGTGGTGTGTTTTATTAAAGTAAAGTAAGAGTAAGTGAATATGCAGGCAAAATTAAGCACAAAACAAAACTCTTGAAGTGTCAATGTTATATAATAGTTTAGCATAGGTAAAATTAAAGGTTCCCCTTGACAATTTTTGTCCAGTCGTGTTTGACTCTAGGGGGCGGTGCTCATCCCCGTTTCTAAGCCATAGAGCCAGCGTTTGTCTGAAGACAATCTTCCGTGGTCACATGGCCAGTGTGACTTAGACACGGAACGCTGTTACCTGCCCACCGAGGTGGTCCCTATTTATCTACTCGCATTTGCATGCTTTTGAACCGCTAGGTTGGCGGGAGCTGGGACAAGCGACGGGAGCTCATTCCGTCACGTGGATTCGATCTTATAGCTGAAGATCTACAGACTTTACAGCACAGAGGCTTCTGCGGTTTAACCAACAGCGCCACCACGTCCCTATTAATAGTTTAGCATACTGTTTCCTAAACTTGGGGAGCCTGGAGACATTCTTGAGGAATGTACGTGGACTAAAAGTTAAGGAAAGGGGTGTATGAATGATGGGGATGCAAAGAGGTCTCTGGAGAATTGTAATTGGAAGTGATTTGTAGGAAGACCCAGTTCTTCAAAACAAAAGGATCAACTAACTGGAGCAGAAGTATGAATACAAGTCTCGGGTGGGGGGGGGGCTCAGCAGGCGATGGCCCAGCTTCACACTGCTCTGCTGCTTGCTTGCTTGCTTGCTTGCTGTATTCCTGCAACCCTATTCTCACTGAGGGCTCCTTCTATTATTTTGCAAGAGTCCTTTCTTAACAGCAAGTAACATAAAAAGAGTGGAGGAAGAGGGAGAGTTCTGTGGCGCCACTGGCAGTGAAAATCAGCAAACTATGTACAAATAAAGGGGGATGTGAATAGAAATGGTGTCAGCAGGCAACAGCTTTTGCAAAGAAAGAGAAGAAGGGATGTATGCAGGCTTCTGTGGGGATGACGTCAGGGTGACATGTGCAAGAAGGTAGGAGGAGGATGGGAGAGAGTGCATACCTGGCCATTCCTACTGAGCGTCACCTCTGTCTGTGTCTAAACTCCCTCATGACCATTGGTGGTTCTTTTTCATCTGAAAATCTGGCTCTTTCTGCAAGTCAGTTTTTCACTATCTTTTCTTGAAAGTGGGTTTTTGATGCTTAATAAATTACTCAGATTCACTAGCTAGGCCAGTGTTAGAAATTGGGAGTGGTGAAAGATGCAGGTTGAAGTGTACATGTCAATGACGAGCACACATTCAGGTTAAGTCTGATGGATTTCAGAAAGTCTTCCTTTCTGCTTTTTCTCTTTCTGCTTTCTCCAAGTCCTCCATTTAATTGCCCAAACATTCCCTGTTTATTTGATGCCACATTGTTTGTCATCATCATCAGGATTTTCATGACATTTTTCTTTTGGTTAGGTAACTTTTCATCAGTATGGGCAGAGTTAAGGATTTTTTAAAAAGAGGTTCATTCATTCATTTATTCATGCATTCATTCATGCATTCATTCATGCATTCATGCATTCATTCATTCATTCAACTTATATACTGCCTCACAGTGCAGTACACTCTGGGCAGTTTACAGCAAAGCATAAAACAAAATAAATACTAAACAATATACAAATCAGCAAACAAACCAATCAATAAAACCACTGACTAGCTACCCTATCTTTAAATAAATAAACAATATTGCATTTTTTCCTCTCTTCTAAAAACAGTAGTAGGGTTTGCTGTTAGCATCTAGTCAACCAGGTTGCAACCATTTCACAAGATGTGCTTTATTCCACCCACCTAATTAAAAACTATGTTTATAAGTAAGTCAGGTAAGCAGCAGAAATCCTGATTAAAAGAACAGATGAGATTGCTGGTCATGTATGTGAAGGAGCTATTATTGTGGGAGGAGTGCAGTAAGGCTTTAATCAGGAATATAAAGCAAAGTGATAGATCTGACCAGATAAGCAGTATCAGGACTGAAACAGAAATAGACTTGGCCAGGTGGCACCATTGGAGAGGGTTGATCCTTAGATGTAGGAGAAGTCTTCCTTTTAAAACTGCCTTTTTTGTTTATTTATTTTGAGAAAGAATATACGTACATTAAATCATGTCCCTGCATGATTTCCAAGGTCTACCTATAGCATTTGCAAAGCGAGGCTAGTATAAACATTTAGCAAGATATAAACTTTAAACATCTAACTGTTTTCATCCCCACCTGCTAGTACTGAATTTTACTTACATATAAAGATAAGCATGTTTTGGGTCATGCTTGTGTATGGAATGGAGGTTTTGTCTCCTGTTAAACCCAGCACAGAATTGCGAATGGTTTTGCTGCTCATTCAACTAGCACTTTTTACTCTGCACCATGCAAAGTAATTTTTTCATATGTGATTGCTTGTTTCTGCTGAAGTTTACAGAGTACTAGCTCTCTTACCTTCTTCCCTGACTTCTCCCATGAATAAAGGTTGCAAATGAGGGTTGTCTGCTTCTCTAGATTGCAGAAATGATCTGCAAGCATTTAAACTCGGCCTCCTTTCTCGCTGATGATATGTTCAGTACACTTTCTGGAACTTTCCCACCTTCGGAAAGTCCCTACTTGCCTGAAAACAAATCTGCTAACTTCTTGGTGTCAGGCAGGTGGCTTTGTGTACGGCTGTATCTGAAACCACATTTTGAAGATGGCTTCTAAGAGGACAGTTTTTAATATGCAGTGGATTTCAAACTTCTGGAGACAAATGCAAAAGTTATTGTAAAATGTGCTACTAAACCTTTGGACTAAATCAGGGGTCTCAAACATGCGGCCTGAGGGCCAGTTGCGCCCCCCAGATGATAGTTTGTGGCCCTCGCCTTGCCTGCCCCCCCAAAGCGCCCACCCATCCTCTGCTGTCAAGAGTAAAAAAAAAAGCCTTGCCTCGCTCGCCGGCTCTCTCCCAAGACAGCACCTCTGCACCCTCCATCCAGAACTGCAGCCTGCCAGCCAGCCCGCCTGTCTGTCGGCTAAGTAAACTCCTGGGCGGCTTCCTTGGGCTCTTGCTCCGCTTGGTGGAAAATCTGATGCGGCCCAGCCTCACCCAGACTCTGTCTCTAGCGGCCCCCAGGTAAATTGAGTTTAAAACCCCTGGACTAAATAATCTGGGAATTAGTGCTGTGGAGTCTCATACACAAGGACTATTACATCAGAAGAACCTGAAAACTAAATCAAGTCAACAGTCCATTGCAATATGTTTGGGTTTTGCAACTGGTGATGAAGAAGATGTCATTTAACTATTGCAACAGCATCCATGAGTTATTTAAGCAAATGTTCTCAGATAGCCAGATAGCTCAACAGTTTCATCTTGAAAAAACAAAAGCAATGTATGTTGTTGCTTTTGGCTTGCTACCATATTTCTCTGATCTTTTACTGAAACAGCTGAAACAATCCGAAACATTTGTTACTTGTTTTAATGAAGCTTTGAATAAGGTGGTTCAAAAAGGACAGGTGGATTTAGTGATTCGTTTTTGGGATGATTACTGTCATAAAGTTTCTACACGGTATCTAACCAGTGTTTTTCTTCAAACTGCTACTGCTGAAGACCTTCAGAAGGTTCAAGAAGGCATGTCTTCTTTATCAGTTGCAAAATTATTACAAGTATCTATAGATGGGCCAAATTTAAATAGCCTTTTTCTGAGAAAACTAAAAGAACAAATTAAAATCCACCTTGACTGTAAGGGAGAAGGAAAATGATTGACTTTGGAACTTGTACTCATGTTGTACATGGGTCTTTTAAAACATGATTGCAAGCAGTAAAATGGAACCTGAATTCAGTCTTGTGCAACATGTATTATCTGTTAAATATTCCCCAGCTAGTAAGGCATCATACACTGGTATGACTGGAAGGACACTGTGTGTTTAGTCGTTTAGTCGTGTCCGACTCTTCGTGACCCCATGGACCAGAGCACGCCAGGCCCTCCTATCTTCCACTGCCTCCAATTCATGTTGGTTGCTTCGCAGACACTGTCCAGCCATCTCATCCTCGGTCGTCCCCTTCTCCTCTTGCCGTCACACCTTCCTAACATCAAGGTTTTTTCCAAGGACCCTTTTCTTCTCATGAGATGGCCAAAGTACTGGAGCCTCAGCTTCAGGATCTGTCCTTCCAGTGAGCAGGGCACTATTTCCCCTTAAGTTTTTTTTGCTCCACTAGGTGAATGGAAAATGTTAAGTGTCTTGATAGAGCTATGGCTGTTTTGACAACATCAAGAAGTATGTGGAAGAAGCAAAACTGCTACAGTAAACTTGAAATTTGTATAAAAATTACAATGCAAGATCCACTCATGAAGTGCAAAATGGTTTTCATGAAAACAATTGCTGGAGATTGTGAGCCATTTCTACAAAGGTTTCAAAACCAAAAAACATTGACAACTTTGTAAGCTAATCAAGAAGCTAATGAGTTATTGCACAAAATCAGAAAAGCTGCAAAATGTGTCATCTGGTTGCCAGTTGTTAACAATTGACATGAAATGGTCTGAGAACTTGCTTGACAGAAGCAAGGTTGTCACTGGCTTTGCAGCAAAGAAGCTGATGAAAGAAACTAAACAGAGTGAACGTCAATTGGCTGAGTTTTGCCTGGAGTGCTGAAAGATGGTAGTAGATGTTGTTGAAAAGCTGATTGAGAGAAGCCCTTTGAAGTTCAGGATATTGTGTGGCCTATCAGCATTAGATCCTGCTATCATTTTATACAAGCCAAATCTTGGAATCACCAGAATAGGGGCTGTTCTTGAAGCTCTACATGCAGCAAATCTGATCAATGACACACCATAAGCAACAAGAAGAAATTCAGAAGAAAGAAGAAAAGAAGAAACTTGAGGGACAAATTAAACATCTTGAAATGCTGAAAAAAGACAGAGAAGAAGCCAAAATGGAAGAGGAAACAATTGATAAGAAACTAAAAGAGTTACAAAATAAAAAGTGTAGAAGTGATAGTTTCATATCTTAAATCTTTATTCTGTAAAACATTACTTGTATTCTAATTTCTAAGTTGATTATTACTATGATTTCAAAACTATAAGTTTCGTAATGTGGCTTCAGAGAAACAATTTTAGAAAGAATGTTTATATAATTTTAGTGTACCTTTAAAATAATAACAATGTTATGTCATTTGTTAAGCATTCAGAGTTTACTTGAATTGAAGTTTGTATCTTGGTGTAATTTTTGGAGTAATTTGCAAAACAGATGTTGCTGCAGTTAATGTTGAAAGAAGCTGATATCAAATCTGTTATTTTGACAGATATTTTTGCAGTTGAGACGTGTAGTTGTAGAGTGGAACATTTCATTAAGACTTTCATTAATGCAACATGACCTATTCATTTTTTAATTTGTGGTTATAATTGAATGGTCTCTCTCCCTCCCTCCCTACCTAATTTGTTGCCATTTTCATCATTGAAATCTAGGATTTCCCAATTTACATTCCTAGAATGCAGCATCATGTCTCAAATTAAACTTGTTTTGCTTTTTTGATCTTAATTTTTATGAAATTTAGTGACAAGAAAAATGAATTGTGCTTATTTTTAGTTTAATGTAATTATAATCAATTTTGTCTTAATCTTTAATTATAAAATATGCATTTAAAATCTGAGGATTTAAATTAATGATAAAGGAAAGGTGAAGGTGTGAGAATCTCAGAAAAATCAATAGAAGGGTATAATGGCAAAATGTTTGAGATCCTGTGGTTTAGCCTTTTGGATTTTCACAAGGAAGTACATGACTGCCTCAAGCTAACGAAAGTATTTATGAGAACTAAGGTGTGTATTTGTTATAAGAAGCAAACTTGCTTTTCCTGCTCATCTTACCTGACAGTCTTCAGACTTTTCATCATCACATGGCATCCTGCCAGTTTACTGTCCTGCAGAAAACTAGAACAGTCCAAGGTGTCCCCACCCTTTCAGTCATAGTTTCCAAATGCCTCACTCTACATAGCATGATTTTCAGAATCCTGTTACTAGAACAGGGGTAAGAAAAGTGCAACTCTCCAAATCTTCAACTTCTAGTATTCCTTAATGGCTGTACAGTGGGCCCTTGACTCAATGAACTTAATCCGTTCCGGAAGTCCTTTCGTAACTCGAAAAGTTCGTAAGTCAAAACCAATTTTCCAATAGGAATGCATTGAAAACCATTTAATCTGTTCCAGCTGTTTTTGGTTCTTAAGTCGAGGGGCAGTTTGCAACTCGATTAATTAGTTCCCATAAGAACTAATGCAAAGCTGCTTAATCCGTTCCTACCACTAGGGGCAGAATTTTTCTTTTTTCCCTTTTTTGTTTTGTAACTCGATTCTGCGTTCGCAAGTAGGGTCTATAGTTTCCTATGAGATCGAGTTCGTAACCCGAAACGTTTGCAACTAGGTCTGTTCGTAAGTCGAGGGCCCACTGTACTAGCTGAAGCTGAAGATTTGCAGTTCAGCAACATATGGAGGACTGCACTTTGCCCATCCCTGGTCTAGAACATACAGTATTGGGGAATATATCCCTGTGTTAACTTTTGTTATTCTGTATACTGAAAGATTAATTCTACCTTTTTATCTTGTTAGGCCCTTATTTACCTTGTTGTTTGTATTTGTCTCAGGTATAGTGAATGTGTTGTTGACTACTCCACTCTGGGTAGTGAACACTCGTCTGAAGCTTCAGGGGGCAAAATTTAGAAATGAAGACATTATACCAACCAATTACAAAGGCATTGTGGGTAGGCATTTGTTTTCATCATTCCTCTTAGCATATTTCATGTTGGTATTAGACTTTGTGTGCTAAAGCCTTATATTTACAGTTATAAAAAATACAGACAGTGTCTTCATTTGCTGTTATGCGTTTCAAAGCAATATATTTTTCTACCCATTCTAAAATCACAGACAAAGTGGAGTATCAAATAAAGATAAGGATTTGTATGTTATAAATTGAGATTAGCCTGGATTTGCCATAAAGATGAGTCATTTATATTATTCAGCCATCACTCTTAACTTTCCCCACTCATAATTCAAACAGATTGTTCCTGTTGAAAAAGACACATTAAAACAGCAGTGTGAAAATTGATCAGTAATTTATCACCTATTAATCATGCTAAAAAGCAAGAGCAGAATTGCTCAAGGTAAAAGCACAAAGTAGGTGGCTAATTAGTAGCATGAACAGCATGGTTCTACCTGACAGTCACAAAATGGCTTCTTTCAGAATATGATTTGGAAGTTTTTTCAGATTATCCCTACTGTTTTAAATTCTTCCTTAAGTAGTATCCCACGTGAAATGAAAATAAGAAGTGGAATTGTAAAGTCTAATGATTTTAGATATGTATGTAATTCATACTTGGAGCATGTTTTTAAGGGAAAGGCTATGTGCCAGCAAAGGAATCAATGTATTTTTGGAGAGGTACAGATTGAAAAGGGATATAAATTGATACTTCTGACCACCTAGTCCCAAGGGTGAAGGTGGCATGGGTCCAATGTGTATTGTATGTAGTAATTATAGAATTGTATTTTAGTTTTAATATCAAGTAAAATATTTTTACAAAAGTAGTATCCCACTAACATCAGTGCAGCCCATGAGATATCTAACTAGCTGATGAAATTACTGGCAGAGAGTGCATCAGGGTAATCAGTAGCAAAAACACAAAGCTACTTAAAATTGAGTTCACATGATGAATCAATTGTGTGTGTTTGTTTTTTGAAAAAAGTTTTTAAATTTAAACTGGACTTCTAAAGATTTAAGGAAACATTCCAATTCCAAGTGTCAAAAATAATCTGATTAAAAATCAGATAAGAATTTAATACAAACATCTTACAGTTAGAGAACCTTGAAGCTACTAACTTATGGGAAAACTTGGAAATCTGAGCATTTCAGTCCTTTATTGTGGTATTTAGGCATGTGTAAAACCAGGTCTGGTTTCTTTGACTCTCAAATTCTGTGTGAGTGCTCTAGACATGACATCTTTGAGTAGGCCTATACCAGGTGGAATGATAATGCCACGACAAACAGATTTGGGTCCCCAACCCCCGGTCCATGGACCAATCCTGGTCCGTAGTCTTGCCAGGACTGGGCCGCAGAGATAGATCTCCTGCCCCCGGGCATGCACATTCACGCCCTTCATATGGATGCACGTGCCTTCCCACACATGGTACACATGCAGCCCCTCCCATGCATGCATGGATGCACACAGTGCACATTCACGCCCCTCATATGGATGCACGTGCCCTCCCACGCATGGTACACATACAGCCCCTCCCACGCATGCATGGATGCACACACAGCCCCTCTCACACACGCATGGATGCACACAAGGTTCAACGCATGCACGACCCCTCACACACACACACACACACACACACACACACACGGCCCCGTTGGAGGGCACACCTTTTACCATGCTTACGAGTCACTGATGCACACACAGTCTGTCCCACACACACATGGATGCACACACCACCCCGCCTCCACCTTCACGCTAAAACAATAATGGAGGCAAAAATGAATGACTGTGCAAAATGATAGGTCACCATGGTAAGCATTCTATTATTCCATTCAGTCCTCTGCTCATAATGCTTGCACTCAGGTAAAAGGGGATTAATAAAGCAATTTTCACTAGTTCCTCTTTCCCCTTGCAGCTCCTTTGAAAATCTGCTTGGAGAACCTATACTAACTAATCACAGTTACTAGATTCACAAAAATGTGGTTGGTTAAAAGAATATTTGTAAAAATTTAACTTCTTTCAAGAGTATGAGAGAGTCTCCTGGATAAGCCATTATTCCTAGATCCACAGCCTTTATGAAAAAGAAACAAAGCAGCAGCAGCAAGTTTTTGGCCCCTGAAGGTCCCAAGATAGGAAGCAAAGATGCAAGCAGTGTTCTGCCCATTGATTTTGTGAGAAAATAGACAGCCTTTGCCTTTTAGTTTCTTTAAGCCAATGAATGAAGGCATAGCAATTACTCATATTCCCTCTGTCATTAGAAGGAAATTTCTGCTTTATTTTTTTTTTTTAGACCTCATTTTTTTGGTCTTCCGTGATTAGATGTGACTGCTGCCACATAAATAACAATTCATAAATCCAAGATGTCTACCCAAAAGAAAAAAAAAGCAGGAGTTTATAATCTTTGTAACTAAAGAGACCATGATCTGTCTTTTTAAAGGATTTTTTCTCCTGCATTTATAAACATTAATCCACTCTTTAAAATAAAAATCTCTTGATTCAAATAAAGTTTTGTTGGAGTTCATGATGCCTCTCCAATGTGAAGTTTGAATTACCTCTGCATTTGTTCTGTCAAATACCAAGGATTATCTGCCATTCTGTTTAAAGCTCATAATATCATATGACATGATTTGAAGCAAAAAATATTGAAAATTTATATTGCTGATCTTCATTTTCTCATCAGATGCCTTTCATCAGATAATAAGAGACGAAGGGATCCTTGCATTGTGGAATGGTACTTTTCCTTCACTGCTGTTAGTGTTCAACCCTGCCATACAATTCATGTTCTATGAAGGGCTTAAGAGGAAGATTTTGAAGTCACAACTCCAGGTGAGATTCTAGTGTCTACAGGCAACCTCATTGATTGACCTTTATTTTCAAAAATTGGTTCCATGTAAAATATTCTTATATCCTCTTTGTTAAGCTCAGAATTTGTTTCTGCTTTCAGTTAATTATTTCTTTCTTTATGTTGTTACAGCTTTCTTCATTAGATGCATTTGTGATTGGAGCAGCTGCCAAAGCAATTGCCACTACACTCACTTACCCTATGCAGACAGTACAATCAATTTTACGGGTGGGTAGCTATTGTATCAAATCACATTCAGTTATTGTCTTTAAAAAATAGAATTGCCTTTCACCAATATTTTACCACTCAGAATGACTGGCACATGTTTCATCTCATGGTACTTCATTTGCTGCTGTTGCAGAAGGGCACAGGTTGTCTTAACCAGGTCTAGAAAAGAAATACTGTACTTAGAAAACTTTTTCACTATCATTAAGTAATCTACATGGGCATGGTGCATTTGCCTCGCCTCAGAAAAAAACCTGCTGAAATTTAACTACAGTGGTGCCTCAACTTACAAAAGTCCTGACATACGACCATTTCGAGTTGCGACCAGCTCCAGCCGCAAAATTTTGCTTCGACTTGCGGCCGGAGATTCGAGTTGCAGCTGGAAAAAGGCAGAGAAAAGGGGTGGAGAATTCAAATTTGCTAACTGTTGGTAGGCGAAGAGGCTGCTTCTTTGTAGCTCTTTTGCCCCAACGGTTAGAGTAAGTGCATCGGAGGAGGCTTCAGACTTCCTGGAGCTGCATGCTGCTCCTGAATAAGTACATTTACTTTGTTTTGCAGGGTGGGTTTGGGTTTGGGGGGGTTATGTTTCTGTTCTGTCATGGTTTTTGTGTTTTGGTGTGTTTTTTCCCCACCCCATCGCATTTCAATGGGGGTGTTTTTGTCTTTTTTTTTCCCCAGCTCCATCATATTCCGATTTTTTTTTTATATAAAAAATTTTCAGGCCCCAATGTGTTCCGATGGGGCTTGCATGTTCCGATTTTTTTTTTGATAAAATTTTTTCAGGCCCCGATGCGTTCCGATGGGGCTTGCATTGTTTTGTTGTTGTTGTTGTTTGGCATTTTCCCCCCAGCCCTGACGCGTTCCTATGGGGCTTGCAGTGTTTTTTGTGTGTTTTGGTGTGTTTGTTTTTTGGCCCCAACGCATTCCTATGGGGCTTGCAGTGGTTTTTTGTGTGTGTGTGTTTGTGTGTTTTTTTCTTCTTCTGGAACGGATTAATCATGTTTGTGTTTGTGTGTTTTCTTCTTCTGGAACGGATTAATCGTGTTCCAATGCATTTCTGTGGGAAATGGTCGTTCGACTTACGACCATTTCGAGTTACGCCCATCTTCTGGAATGGATTGTGGTCGTAAGTGGAGGCACCACTGTAGCTTCCTTGACAGTAGCAGGATTTCTATTTTGCCTCTTTCCACAGATGTTACATGTTAGCATCTACTGGGGATATAGTTTGGCAATCCCATTTTCTTCTGGTTTAAGACTTTCTTTTACTTGCTGTATCCCAACTACAATAAGCATTGGGGGTTTGTATAATTCAAATGCACGTGTTTTCCTTGTATGTAACTATTACATTCAGTGTAACCCTTTTATCTGTTCTGGGTTGTATGGATGGTTCTGACAATCAAATAACATATTATTAGAACTAAATAATATGTAAAAGCTAGTTTGAATACAGGGCATGGTAATTTAAATTGTTGCAAGCCGCCCAGAGACCTTTGGGTAGAGTGGGCAGCATATAAGTTAAATAAACAAACAAACAAACGAGTCCTTAATCACAGTATGACAGATAATTATGCTGAATTTTATGCTGAAATTATGCTGAGTACAGAATTGTAAAAGCTTGTTCACACTGTTCTTCATTGTTCATTGCTCTTTCAGGCATTAAATAACAAAATGATACTATTGTATCTGGCATGGCCTTCCTCATCAAACAGAAATAAGAAGGATGTGATGCAAGGAAAGCTACTCACTCATTTGTTTTTTCTCCTTTTCAGTTTGGGCATCATCGGTTGAACCCTGAAAACAAACGACTAGGTAGTCTTAAAAATGTTCTGTATCTTCTGCGACAGAGAATAAAGTGAGCTTTTAATTAATTTATTTATTTATCCTTTTGACAGTGTTTATAAGGATTAACATTAGCTTATGTCTTATTCAATTGAATATGCCTGCTAAATTACTGTAAACTGGGCAGTTCTGAATGTAAATAGCAAAACAGTTGCATTAAGCTTTCTTTGTGATTAAAGGAGAAGGGGTAACTGCTAATATTTCTCACCTCTGAAGCCTGCCCAAACAGAGAATACTAGTTTTGCTTCTGTTAGTTATATTTTCAAGTTCTGGGTATGATTCTTCTGATGTAAATATAGAAATTCATGGTTTGAAATAGAGAAATAGCACTCTTTCCATAGATCAAGTTCCAAATTGGCCTGAGCTTTACTGACGTAATTTTTGGAGGCTCTATCTGAAGTTGGATCGGTGGCAGCTCGAGAAAAAAAAAACTTCTCAGTGTTAGTACACCATCTACTGTATAGAATTCCCATCCCAGGGAGGCCCACCTGACGCAAACATTTGATCATTATTTGACATCAGGCAGGAATATTTTTATCTTTCCTGGCTTTCTTAAAGTTTTTGTGTGTTTTTTAATGTGCTGTTATTTTTATTGCACTTCTTTATTCTCCTTTTGTAAACTGTTCTGGAAGTTTTGCTCAAGAGCAGCGTGTAAATCTTTTCAACAAATACAAGCTCTATATCAATTTTATGTTGTGTCAGGGTATACTAACATGTATACAAAAATGGCATAATGCAAGCAAGCTTTGCCTCTGTTCTGACTTCCTATTGTTGAGCTGTAAGATCTGACTTATAAATTTAAGATTCTTAGGATACATCAATGTTTTAGGCAGCATCCCTGTTCTTATTAGTCATGTTTGTGTTGGTATTTAGAGAAATGTCTGAATAGAGGCCCAGTGTTTGCAGCCAACATGTATCAGGAATCTAGCTGCTGTGGAAGCCAGGTAATAGTAACTGAGGGAAGAGTTAAGATTCCCTAGTGCCCTCTCAACGTAACCGTGCCACAAAGAAGTGGCAACTGGACACACAATGGAGGCTGAGGAGTGTAGTTTTTCTCTACAGGCCCATTATAGCTTGTAGGCTGATGACTCCATGGGCTTCCTAGGAGAGAATGTTCCATTTAATAGTCCTGGACAATTTTGCTGTTTTATGGTTATAAGATGTCTATTCAGCTCTTACTGATTATATATACACAAAGCTCTAGTTGGACTAGTCTTTGGTGAGAGGCTGCAGGGCCAGGCTTCAGATTTTGGCTGCTGATTGGTGTCAGATCTATCTGCAGGAGCAACTTCTGTTTTCTTAGGGCGATTGATATATTCTATTACAAGCTCAGGCTACTCCTAATTTGCCTGCTCCTATCTGAAATCCACTGACAACCCCCCCCTCAGTACTAGCTGTGTGAGAGTGAGGAGGTGAATTCATGAGTTGTGGGCCTCAAAAGCTGAAAGCTGCCCAGGCCTCACCAAAACTTTGGGAGGATGCGCTGGGAACATCACATCCCTAAGTTCCAAGTGTTTATTTTCTTGGTAAAGAGAGGAACAGATAAGGATATTTTAGGGATGGAGGGAGAAATAATCTGTGATTATGTTTTTACTAAATATTCTTACAGTACATTGAATTTATTTCTTTATAGGCGTTTTGGATTAGTAGGACTCTATAAAGGGCTTGAAGCAAAGCTGCTACAAACAGTCCTCACTGCTGCACTGATGTTCCTTGTCTATGAAAAACTTGCTGCTGCTACTTTCACAGTCATGGGATTAAAGCGTTCACTGAAGAAGTGAAGTCTGCACATTAAATTGTAAGAAAGAAGATCACTTCCGTGGAAGCAGAAGGTCCCAACCTGGGGAATAATTAGGTGCCATAGAAGATTTCATCTCAAAGACTACAATATTTTTTTCACTACATTCTTTTTCTCAGAAAATGCTTCTGAATGTGTCTGAAAGGAAGCTTGAAGTTTAGTTTCCAAGTATCTGCTTCCAGTCACTGTAAGATGGTTTGACCATCTTGGAGATTTTGATTTGGGATGCATAATTGCTTAAATGAAAATCATTAAAACCCTTTGGAGTTGGTTTCTCCCCCCCCCCCCAATATTGGAATGAGGTTATTCCTCATTGTGTTTAACTTTTCTTTCATTTTAAAAATACCATTCCACTGTTCATTCTCCATTTGATTGTCAGGCTATGTTTCAGGGGTTGGTACTGTGAATTCTCCTTGATGACTGGTCCATTAAAAGATTCCAGAGAGAACTATGTTTTAACATGAGCTTTGTTTTCTCTTATTGGTGTGAGTTTGAGTTATACTACAACAGCTGTATTGTGGTCTTGCACCTCTAAGCTATAGTATAGTGGCTTAAGAACTAAGTGAATGCAGTTGGAATTTGCTGCTGTAAGTAGCAGTTTTGTTAGCATTTAATGCCTCTAATATTAATTTTTTGTCTTGTATGGTAAGAGTTGACAATAACATATAGCAATGGTGGGTGCTAAATTGCCTAGGAAACTAACTTCTGTTATTACTCATGTCATATCCAAGGAGAGACCAAAGAGACAAAGGCAGAGAGGCTAGTGATTTAGATTAACATCAGGAAATAATCGGGAGTAACCCCCTGGAAATTCCTGATGCAGAACCACCATGTTGTCAGCTTAAGAGGAAGGGGCTTGTCCTGATAATTGCTGAGAGTAATAAATAGCAGCTATGAAGACTGAGAAGGCCTTTCTGTTTGTTGACTCCTAACAGAGCACAGCAAAGGAATAAAACTGAGATAGACGAGGGAGCAAGTGACCAGGGAGAGTTAACAGAAGTTTGACAGGGCAGAGGTAGTAAAGAAAAATAGTAAGGAAAGGGTCTCCTGGAGGAAGAGACAAAATAAAAGGGGGGACTAAGGCAGAGAGTTATCTGCATCCTTTAAGGCAGACAAGACAAAGAAAAGTACACTCATAGACAAACAGAAGAAAGTGAAAAGGCAACAGATTATGGTAGGAAGAGACACGTGGTGGTGACCTACAAAGTGTGTGCAATGTTTGTCTTTGTGTCTGAGAACAACACAGCATATACATGCAGCAAGTGCAAACTGGTAACACTGTTGGAAGAAAAACAAATGAAAGAACTGGAACAGTGAGTAGCCATGCTTAAAGCTTTAAGAGAAAATTAAAAGTACATAGAACTCTTGAGCAGCATCAGCCAAGAGAGGTACTGGAGGTAGAAGAATAGCAAGACAAAGCAGAGGAGGGGAATTCTGAGAAGAGAACAAACAGAATGGAGGAAGGAGCATGGTAAAGAGGAACAATTAGGAGCAAAAGAAGAAGGCACTCTTCACCAGTGGAACGGCAAAACTGCTTTCAGATTCTTGAAAAGGAATCTGGCAGACAACATGCAGAGGAAGACATACAGGAGACCCACAGGAGAACATAAAAGAGGCTGAAGCTCAGGCAAGCAGAATCATTAAACTCGCATCCTAAAAATAGAAGTGAAGAGTACTTGCAGTAGGAGACTCTGCTGCATGGAACTGAAATTGAAATATGCCATGAATCCACTAGATATGCTGTCTCCCTAGAGGACAGATTAGGAATGTGATGGAAGGATTGCCATCACTCATGTATGCATATCCCTTTCTTCTCATCCATGTGTGAACAAATGACACAGCCAAGAGGAGCTTTAAAGAAGTCACTGCAAAGTTTAAAACTCTGGAAGGAAACAAGAGCACTGGGGCCTAGATAGTCTTCTTATCCATTCTACCAGTACTCAGAAAAGGAATAATAAGGGAAAGGAAAATATTCTATGTGAATGACTGGCTATGAAGGTGGTGCCAACATGAGGGATATGGATTTTGGGACTATGGGCTCTGCTTCCTGGAAGAATGGACTGCTAGCAAGTGATATGGGCGGCATTTCACAAAGCCTGGGAAGAATGTGTTTGGCCACAGCATGAAGAACATCAGGAGAGTTTTAAACTGAATTGGGAGGGGAAAGGAGACCCAAGCTCAGAGGTAAAGATAGATGAATGCTTATGCACCATAAAAAGAAGTGGCTAAGCAGCAGAGGGAATCAATGCTAGTTCTGAAAAAACATGTATCTTAAAAGATCAAACCAATAAGGAATGTGATTTTGACATGTCAAATGCCAAGCTGAGGTGAAGCTCTTCTTTATTAAAAATAGGGAGGGAGGATAAAACATCTACTACTGTATTAAGTGTATGATGTAGTATATCTATAATGCAATTATTACATGATTTTATCTTCTGAGTAGGTGTTTCACAATGGTGTCAATCAATGACATTGTAGAAATGGCAAATTTTCCCACAGTCTCCATCTATATTAATCTAAAGGCATTTTACTAAGAAGACAGATTCCCACACAATTATTTGTGTAATAGAGGATTTCACTTGGCGATAAACACATATTTGCAAAAATTACTGCATTTCCTAAGTAACATACATCCTTTGAGGGACTCCTAAGATGTTTAATCCTTTCAAAATCATTGTTGATGAAAGATACAGCTTGTGTACAGGGCATTGGGAACAAATAATCCTCTATTACACAAATATTTTTGTGGGAATCTCATTCACATCACACCATCTGAAAAAGGATTCCATCGTTATTAATGTGTATTTCAGCTAACTCCAATTTCCAATGGTACAGAGAACATATGACATTGTAAATTCAAATCAGGGCAAGTCCTATGTCTATTTAACTAAGCCATGCACAGAGAGGAAGTGGATGGTTTTGGGGATGTCTTGGCAGAGTAGCTAACTGTCTGAGTCATCTCCCATCGGGGCAAGGCAAATTTCCCATTAGTTTCACTGTGTTAAAATGAAAGCAACGAACTGGCTCTTGTAATAAACACAAGGTACACAAAATTAGGCTAAATGGGTTCTTTAGATTCAACAGTACAGTAATGGTATTGAATGAGCAGCAGATATAGTTGACAGAAACCAAAGAATATCTTACTGTGATACAAACCAAAGATATATTTTTTAAAAGATGCAATTCTTTTAGTATGGAAATACTTAAGAGTATGTATTGATAAAGCAGAATTCATTTTCTCTATACAATATATTGTTATGCAATTCCAGGTAATAAACTAACTCTGTACCATTGTCTACTCCAGGCTTGTCCAACCTGCAGCCCGAGGGCCGCATGCGGCCCAGGTCGGCTCATAATGTGGCCCAGTGCAATTTTTTATTTTTAAAAAAATTCCAAAGTTTTAAGTTACACTGCCGGCACTTGTGGCCGGAATGCGGCTGGGGCACGTCACAATGGTGGTGGTGGGGGAGATGGAAGGAAGGAAGGAGCAGGAGGGGAGGAGAGAGGGGGGCTGTGTGACTGCATTGCACCATTGCCGTCAATAGGTGGACCCCCTCCCGGCCCCATAATGCCACCGGAGTTGAAGCTGGCAGCCTCTGCTGTCTGAGATCGCAGCTGCTGATAAGCACGCTTGGAGCGGGGCTGCGGAGGATGGCTAAGGCTGTGCCCCCCATGCAGCCCAAACCAAATTTATGTGCGGCCCAAACCAAATTTTCATCTTCTAATGTGGCCCAGGGAAGGTGAAAGGTTGGACACCCCTGGTCTACTCTATTTCCAGTTAACAAAAAATGCTCTACTATCCTGTCCTTCACTTTGGATGACCTTAAATTCTAGTCCTACGAGAAGACCTTGCTGATTATATTTATTTTTCAAAAAGTGGTTCTTAATTACACATAGCATTTCTACGTTTCCTAAAGCAGTTACAGTTATAATAATTGGAAAGTAACTATTTTCTAAACCTCAGAAGCCTGTGCTGCAGGGTCAGAAGACCAAGCAGTCGTAAGATCGAATCCACGCGACGGAATGAGCACCCGTCGCTTGTCCCAGCTCCCGCCAACCTAGCGGTTCGAAAGCATGCAAATGCGAGTAGATAAATAGGTACCATCTCGGTGGGAAGGTAAACAGCGTTCCGTGTCTAAATCACACTGGCCATGTGACCACGGAAAGATTGTCTTCGGACAAAGGCTGGCTCTATGGCTTGAAGAGCGGGATGAGCGCCGCCCCCTAGAGTCGGACACGACTGGACAAAAATTGTCAAGGGGAACCTTTACCTTTTTTAAGCATAACTAAAATTCATACTGTTCAAATTTTAAAAATCCAAATGCTGTAGTCTATTGGCCCATGCTACAAAGCACACCCTGTCTCTGCAGTAACCACAGTGGCGCACAAGGCAATAGCATGAGGCATACCAGTAAACGGCACTTAAAAGGATGTGGGAGTTTTCTTCCACCATTTAACAACTATGAAAGTTATACTGCAGAAGATGTGGAAATATTTCTCAACTAAATACCGTGTTTCCCCAAAAATAAGACAGGATCTTATATTAATTTTTGTCCAAAAAACACAAACCAATAGGGCTTATTTTCAGGTGTTTTATTTCTTTCATGTACAACCATCTGCATTTATTCAAATATAGTCATGTCATCTGGTTGCTGCACAATAGTGGAGGGTGGAGTTTCACTTAACTGGGGCTTATTTTTGGGGTAGGGCTTGTATTATGGGCATACTGAAAAATCATACTAGGGCTTATTTTCAGGGAAACGGAACTAATTTGTAATTAGTAACTTCCATACTTTGCTTTCTTCACAAAAGGCATAATTTTGAACACCTTATTTGTGTCTCACAATTCAACTTCATAAGTTAATAAACTACAGACATGATAACCGTTCATCACGTAAATATTGCACATTTTGGTCTTCCTTTTAAAAATCTTTTCAGGCTCAGTGTCATTGGTCTGAAGAAATCACAAGAGTCACAACTTAATCCTCTTCTGTATTGCAAACTTGAAAATTCTGCTTTAATTGTTCAAGTTTCATTGTGCTTAGAGATTTTGTGTGAATACAGGACCCAGCGTCAGGGTTTTCACTTTTTTGTGGTTTAATAAAGTGATAGCAACTAGTATCTTGGTTTGTGCTTTCTGAATGTGTATCTGTCAGCCTTTGGTGCAATCAACCAAGCTTGTTTTGTAATAAAATATATGTTATAGCTACATAAGCCACCTAAAGAAGGAATAGAATGGGGGAAAACAGAAGGGTGGCTACGTTATATGTGAAAGGCCTAGTGTCTGTAACAAAGAGAAAAAGAATAGAAACATCATTGAAGAAGAATAAGGTGGATGGGGTTAATGATCTGAAACTTCAAAATATACATATTTATGAAAAAGGATTTGGGACACCCAAAAGGTGTAGCAATATTGATCTCCAAACACTGCGTATTTGTTGTAAAAGAAGTAGTAAAAG